GTAGATTAGACAAGAACAGAGATTTGCAGCCAGAGGTAGATCAGGCAAGAACAGAGATTTGCAGCTAGAGGTAGATCAGGCAAGAACAGAGATTTGCAGCCAGAGGTAGATTAGACAAGAACAGAGATTTGCAGCCAGAGGTAGATCAGGCAAGAACAGAGATTTGCAGCCAGAGGTAGATCAGGCAAGAACAGAGATTTGCAGCCAGAGGTAGATCAGGCAAGAACAGAGATTTGCAGCTAGAGGTAGATTAGACAAGACCAGAGATTTGCAGCTAGAGGTAGATTAAGCAAGAACAGAGATTTGCAGCTAGAGGTAGATCAGGCAAGAACAGAGATTTGCAGCTAGAGGTAGATTAGGCAAGACCAGAGATTTGTAGCTAAAGGTAGATCAGGCAAGAACAGAGATTTGCAGCTAGAGGTAAATTAGGCAAGAAGCAATAGTGGTGATGACCGATGCAGAAGAGCTGCAGTACAGAACATGGGACAGGTATCCCGCAGGATATGAATGAAGGAAGACGCTGGAAACCCACCATCGATGTGCAGTGATAGATTGCCTCTGTTGACTCTCACCCCTTCCTGGGAGTGTACCGAGCTAGGAGTTGAAACACACGGTGATTGATGGGCTCGGCAAAGGCCGTATAAGCAGTAATTACATCAATACTATATTCATAACCTGCTGTTAAAATTCTTGAAAATATTTTAAAAGATTTCCCTATATATTAAAATTCGCACATTAACTTTTGATTCTTTATGGTGGTGTCATCCTAGCCCTGGTCCATGATTTAGATAAAATTAAAGTAGTTTATTTTAACAAGTTTACGTGATATACAGGAAAACATCAAGATTTAAATTCAGCAGTTAAGGCATTCTACAATGAACTTACTGATGGAAAGAACGAACTGCGTAAGCTTATTCGACATTGAGGTATGACTGTGTAACAGGAAAGGAGAAAATGTTTGACTGGACCGGTAATCGAACCCGGGACCCATGCATCTCTAGTCAGGTGCTCTACCTACTGAGCTACCTAGGCCGATATCCACGGCTCGATCAAGCCATTACAGCTGTTTTCTCGAGAGTGTCTATTTGTAGTCTAGGAGACGGCCGTCATCCCATTTGTCTTTTCTTGTTCACTGTAAAAGCTTTTTTGCAAATATAACATTTTAGTAGTATTTTCTTCACTGTGTCATGTACTTTTTGTCTGAAAGGGGAAAAAGAAATACAGGCTGTAAAACATGAGTTTAAAATTTCTACCGTATTCAGAAATCTCAAAAAACTAAAATGATTTATTTCTGTGATTTACGAAGTTATAGCATACGGTAATCATTTATAACCAAAATTAATTAAAGTTTAAACTACCGTATGATTTCTTTCCTTTTTTTCTAGAAAAGCATTTTTAAAAAAAGACCAAGACTTTGTACAAAAATACTCTCAGAATTAGTTATAGAGCACGCATCTTACTGTATATACAAGGTACGTAGTATCGTTTTTGAAAATCGGAGGCAAGCCAGAAAAAAGTACGCATCTAGTGTGCTTTGTTTCAATGCATGGCTTTTGTTATTTCAGCAAAATTCAAAATGACGTAAATTGTCCAAAGTCCTATTTCGGGGGGGGGGGGGGGGGGTTACGGGTTCCAACTTTTTTCATAACCAAATGTTATTAATTAATACATTACCATGCACATTACCATATGCATGTTTAACTATACCGCAACAAAAAGGGGGAATTCCTGCCTTTCAAAGAACATTTTCAACAGTAAAATGTTATGTTTAGAAAAAGGGGGACAGCCCCGCCCCTGATACTACGTGCCTGAATACTGAAAAATTCAAATTTGTCTGTTTTGAAGTATTTTTGGTATCGAGAAAATAATTCCTGGTATCACAAGTTCCATTTCTTAAAATCGGAACATAAATAATATTTGATGTCAAAAATTAATGATAATCGAATTAATGATACCAGAAACCCATTTTATTTTCTGAAGTCAGGAAATATTTTTTTAATGCCCCGGTAGTCGAAGATTCGGGGGCATATAGTTTTTGTTCTGTCCGTCTGTCTGTCTTTCTGTCTAGCTATCTGTTTGTCAGCAAAAACTTTAACCTTGCCCATAACTTTTGAATGCCTAGAGCTATGGATTTCATATTTCACATGTGTATTTCTTGTGAAAAGACTTTTCTTTGGGTACCATCACATTTGACCTTGGAGTTTGACCCAGTTTTCCAAAATTTTACCCAATATTAACCTTGGCCATAACTTTTGAACAGTTGGTGCTAGTGCTTTCATACTTCACAAGTGTAATTCTTGTGACAAGACCTTCCTTTGTATACCAACAACTTTGACCCTTTGGTCTTGACCTAGGAGTTTGACCTACTTTTGAAAAGTTTAACCTTGGTCATAACTTTTGAATGCTTGGTGCTAGGGCTTTCATACTTCACATATTAATCCTTGTGACAAGATCTTTCTTTGGATACCAACAATGTAGCCCATAGCATACGGTAATTATTTATAACCAAAATTAATTAAAGTTTAAACTACCGTATAAGCCCGTTGAGGCCAGTTCAGAGATAGAAATATATTTTATTGCGTTTAAACGCAATAATCATTGCGTTTAAATGCAAAAAATTGCGCTAAATCGCAAAACACTTTGCGTTTAATCCCAAAAGATTGCGATTAAACGCAATATTTTGCGTTTAATCGCAATAATTTTGCTATTGAACGCAATACTTTTGCGATTAAACATAATAATATTTGCGTGAAATAATAATCCTTTTTATTATGGATTCGTTTGGCATTTGAACACAATGATACTGTAGTTCAAAAGTCAGACATCAATTAGCCAAAGCTTATAATTACTAGGATCCGACACTTTAAAGAAAAACCGTTTGGTTCTCTGTTTTTTGCAAAATATTCCAGATTTTTTAGCATTGTAGTAAAACAGTGGCATCCTAACAACCAGAATGTCTTTAACGTATTAGAAATGAAGCCTTTGATCAACTGCTTACGTATCACAACTAATTAAGAACGTTTTAGTGGTATTAATAAAAACTTGTCAATTTGGTAGTACACATCGATCAATCTGTTTTCATTTGATTTTAATTTTGATCTCGTATGATTCCATCACCTATGTTCTCGTGTTTAATGTATGCAACCATAGGAAGGATTGTGAATATACATTTCAGTCTAAATACTTCATCATGTTGTACGTAATTCCAACATTTCATCAGTCGTTTCCTAAACCCCTTTATAAACTTTGTGATCGAAACGTGGGGGATAGTTTTTTAAAACCATTTTTTCTTCTTTAGTCTTTTATTTAGAAGATCCATTCTAATTGTTTGCAGAAATTGTTTCAAAGTAGAAAAAAAATAACAAAACAGAAAATGTGATTTGTGATTGTAAGCAACTGACCAAGACTTCATTAAGTACATAGTGATCTAATATTAAAGACATGGTCTCGTTCTTAGGTTGCCTTTGTTTTTACAAACCGACATTTTTTTCTTATCCTTTCAGAGAACATTTTTGGAGGAATCTGATTCTCTGAGCTAGACAATACAAAATTTCATAATAAGTAAAAAGGAGAAAGAATCAAAAGATATCAGTATGCGGAGGTCCATTGTACTCTGCAAATTTTGATACAAATGATTGCCTTTAAACACAAAGATTATTGTGTTTAAATGCAGAAGTATTGCGTTTAAGGTAGTCCGATCCTCAGGTTCTGAAAATCAGCTTTTAAGTAATTGAAAATGCTCACAAGAATGTCTCTGATTTCACATAGTAACGTGAATTCTTCAAAGTTAATCATTATAGTTAATCATATTATAGAGAAAATTATCAAATCTCAAATATATTTTCAGGAAATGCGAATAAAAACACCAGCTATATAGGTATCATGGCATTTGGAGAAAATTCCATCTTTTTTATGCTGATACAATATTTTAGTTCTTCTCTTTACTTCAATTGTTATGTAATACATAGTGCAAAAAGCTTGTGCTATCATTGCTAGACATCACATATTACGTCAAATTTCATACCATGCTAATAAGCACTGGAATCTAATGGTAGACTAAAGTAAATTCGATTTCTCTATAAATGAATTCATTTTTTTTCTTTCATGGGGTACAAATGTCAACTTTTTACAAGACCGTTTCTAAGACTTCAAAGAACCTTGAACACAGGCACTTGTTTCAGTAATAAATTTTTGACCCATAGTATAATAATAACACAAGGTATCCAACTCCAAATTACACGGAGTACCCCCTCCCCCAGATTCGCACTCATTTACACTTTCAGAGGAAATGCACTGGCAAACCGTTTATACCCATATCTTCTACTATAATTTATCTATACACAACCATATATGACATGCTTGTCTTTATTTTCTTTTATCTCCGTAAACAGTGTCAAAACGCTGCTCGCCGAGTGCAAAAGTCGAACTCAACCATGGAATGGTATGTGCTAATCCCTGCGTTTGCCTGTGACCTTGAATCATATTGAATAAAATGAAAACTGTTGCGCGAAAAGATCTCAATTTCAAGCTTCATTTTGAGACTTTTTAAATAAAATAATAACTTTAAGAGTTATCTTTCCTGGCTGAGGATCGGATATCCTTAAACTCAAAAATTATTTTTTGATACTTTTTTTTTTTTTAATGCAGCAGAATATCTGAACGTCTCTGTATGAGTGAAAAAATTCCCGAAAGGGACGTTAAACAACATACAATTAATCAATCAATCTAATATCAGAAAAGTAGATTAAATTTAAAATCAGAAAATGAAAATCAGGTCCTAATAGAGCTTATGATGTCAGATTTTATCAAGAGGAAATTTTCCTTGTCCTAATTTTAGTGAGCAGGGTTTTATTTTAATCATAAAATCGTTAACGTGTATGCAAACCAGGTTAAATGCCCCAAGACACAGTGTGGCTCAAGATATTTTAGCAACACCCGAATATCAAGAAGTACAAACTGATTAAAACCTCTAGTTTCACTTTCCACACAAACAATCAAAGTTAGAAAAACTTTAACTTATAAATGCTTCAGTTAATTTGACCAGCTTGATGAACTTTCCTTTAGATGGATTATGTAAGGCCAATGAGAATATCAATATTAACGTATATTTTTTTTTCATATTATTGTTTATGATTTTATTTCTAAAGTACAATGTACTTTCTCAAATAAGTGCGCCAAAAGCTGATCAAGGCGATATCATATCAGGGACGCATATACGTTGATATATGTACTTTTTTTTAAACTTTGGTTGAAAGATAAATAATTCTAATTAAAGTAGTTTTGCATTTTATTTTTACACATACCCGTGGATGAATATATGAGATTATTAAAACTACAATTGAAACAGTTTTATCTCGTATGGAAAAATGTGCGACTAACAGATTACTTAGGAAAAAAGATATCATTTAGATTTGACCATGTACCAACTTCATGTCATATCCCAATGAAACTCTAACAAATGATATTTTATTTCTTATATTTTTAATTTTATTTGTGATACAAAGAAAAAAATGCACAATTTATACTGTTATGGATATGCAACATAACATACAATAGCCTTGGTTCATAAGTACTCGAACTGCTTCATGCTTCACCGGATATCGTATCACAGTGGAGTAAGCTTTGATGTCAAAGCTAAACATACAGGTACAACGTCATGTGATGTCATAATCTAGACCCTCAAATATGTCTCGTGTGGTTTGCTTTCCATATGCAAGAAAGTCTGATCACTTGACCAATTTCACGTCATTGAAAATTGAATGTCAGTTTAATAAATGTATTGTCGTATAAGGGAAGACATTGGCAAATGTGCATGATTATAAAAAATCATACGATTGCCGTCCCTATTCATTTCACATTGTATTTATATTTGAAAATCATATAGACAAGTGCTTCCAATCAATCTTATTTGTTTATTTATTTTTGGGGTGGGTGGGGTAAATTTCTGCATATTGTACACAAATTCTTTTTGTATATGTTTTGATTAATAATATTTGAATACACCATATGGAGGGATTTTAAAATCTGTAAGGAATTGTAATATTAATTAAATGCAAATTATATACTATTGATTTTTTTTTTAAAGCAATATTAAATAAAGCTTTTTTTGTGCAAGTTAAATTTTGATATGAGTGTAAATGATTACAGGGAGGAGGAACAGGTGTCACTTGCCAAAGAAATCAAAGCAATCGACAAAAAGTCAGTTCACAGAATTTGTTCAGGGCAGGTTGTTCTAACTCTTGCCACAGCAGTCAAAGAGCTGGTGGAAAACAGCATTGATGCAGGGGCAACCAGTTTTGGTAAATAGAAAAATTTCTAAGAAGTTACTCTCTGAATCAGCTTAGTGTAATGTGTTTGTTGAACAATTTTGGTGTTACTGCTGAGATCTCTTTCACACTTAATAAACAACTTTCTTTACCATAATCTTTATTAGTCCCCTACCAATGAAACCGGGGGGGGGGACTATAGGTTTCCTCTGAGTCTGTCCATCTGTCTGTCTATCTGTCCCTCTGTCTGTCTGTCAGTCTGTCCCACTTGGTTTTCCACACTTTTTTCTAAACGCTTGCAGATATTGAGCTGATTTTTGGTATGTGAGTGTATCTTGATGAGTTAACTTACAGATCAAGTTTGCATTTCGTTCCGCTTCAATGAGTTTTGACGGAATTACGACCTTTTCAATTTTTCAGGGTTTTCCGCAATTTTTTTCTAAACTCTTGCAGATAATGAGCTGATTTTTGGCATTTGACTTAACCTTGATGAGTTACAGATCAAGTTTGCATTTTGTTCCGTTTCATTTATTTTTGACGGAATTATGGCATTTTCAATTTCTAGCGGGAAGCAGATTACACTTGCCGGTAGGGGACTAGTATTGCTAATGCAATACTCTCAGAATGCTTGTTTTTTTTATAAAGAATTTAATTGTCATCTCAGTGACCTAAGCTGATGAGCTTTTCTGCTTGAATTTTGGTAATTACATATATCTGTATAAACTTGACAAATTAAAAAAATGTTTTCGACTCAATCAAACTTAACATAAAGGTACATAGCACTGCAACCTCAGATAATAAGGATTTAAGTTTGATCAAATGAAATCAAATATGACTTTGACAAAGCATTACAAATGTCATGTTTGTAGAATTTTTTTTTTTTAATTCATTGTCATTGACAACTTAGAGGACCACAAAAATGCCTCATTTTAGATTAACAAAATGTGCACATGGTAAGAGCTCAGAGAGGCAAGCAGTGTGGCCCATTTGGCTCTATAACAAAAGATAATGACACATGGAAATTGTGTTGAAAATTATTTAGTTTGATATCTCAATGCTCTTTGATCTATCCTTTTCCCTGCAGAAATAAAACTGAAAGATTATGGACTGGAGTCGATTGAAGTGAGTGATAATGGGAGTGGAGTGGAGGAGAGTAATTTTGAGGGATTAAGTATGAACCTTTTTTTCCTCAGTATGTTATTTTCTATAAGCGTTGTTTGTACACTTTACGATGACACCATCACTGATGTTCTTTTGTTAGCTCTCAAGCACCATACTTCTAAGCTTCAGGACTTCACTGATCTTACCAATGTTGCGACGTTTGGTTTTCGAGGGGAAGCTCTGAGCTCTCTTTGTGCCCTCAGGTACTTTGTCTTTTAAATGAGCTAGTGTTTTCAAATTTCAGCAAGCAAAACTTCTTTTAGACATTGTTTTGTGTAGAACCATAAGTTGAAATGAATTATAAAATGCTATTTTTTGTGCATGTATACACTAAGTTATTTATATTATCACAGCTCACTAACAATTACAACAAGGCATAGCGATGCAAGTGTTGGTACAAAACTGGAATTTAATCACAATGGAAAAATAAAGGCTAAGTCTCCACAACCAAGACAGGTAAAATAATTAAGACAAATAGTTAATATAAAACAATGTAATTAGTAATTTTTTTTCCTGCCATTTAAATGTTAAACTGATTTATTGATGTTGACGTTTCTCTGACTGTATAATGTAAATTTGAAATAATATAGTACTGTAACAGTAAAAACAGTCTAATCCAACACCTGTGCACTTCTCTTCACTGTAAATTCTGACCTTTGTTTTCATTCCCATTTTACTATTATTTAATGTTCTTTACACTCTGTAATCCGATACTTTTTCTATTTCGACACAAAATTTATCTGGAAGTGCAAGTTGGATTAGAAAGGTTTCACAATATTTAAAATATAATATGTGATGAAATGAGTTTATAAGGAGAGATGTAATGTCACAGTGCATGAGGGGATGTTATGTTGTAATGCCACAGTGCATAAGGGGATGTAATGTTGTTATATTACAATGCATGAGGAAGTGTAATGTAATGTCAAAGTGCACGAAGGAGTACTATGTTGTAATGTCACAGTGCATGAGGGGGTGTAATGATGTAATGTCACAGTGCATGAGAAAGTGTAATGTAATTTAATGTCACAGTACATGAGGGGGTGTAATGTTGTAATGTCACAGTGCATGAGGGGGTATTACATGTAGGCAATATTGTTATGTCACAGTGCATGAGGACATTTATTGTATGTCATAGTGCATGAGGAGGAAAAATCATAGGGGGTGTTTGTCACAGCACACTAGGGGGTATTATGAAATTTCACATGACATGAGGGAGTGTAATGTAATGACAAAGTACATGAGGGAGTGTAATATAATGCCACAGTACATGAGGGAGTGTAAGTAATGACACAGTACATGAGGGAGTGTAATATAATGACACAGTACATGATGGAGTGTAGTGTTATGACACAGTGCATGAAGGAGTGTAATGTAATGACACAGTACATGAGGGAGTGTAATATAATGACACAGTACATGAGGGAGTGTAGTGTTATGACACAGTGCATGAAGGAGTGTAATGTAATGACACAGTACATGAGGGAGTGTAATGTAATGACGCAGTACATGAGGGAGTGTAAAGTAATGACACAGTACATGAGGGAGTGTAATGTAATGACACAGTGCATGAAGGAGTGTAATGTAATGACACAGTACATGAGGGAGTGTAATATAATGACACAGTGCATGAGGGAGTGTAGTGTTATGACACAGTGCATGAAGGAGTGTAATGTAATGACACAGTACATGAGGGAGTGTAATGTAATGACACAGTACATGAGGGAGTGTAATGTAATGACACAGTACATGAGGGAGTGTAATGTAATGACACAGTACATGAGGGAGTGTAATGTAATGACACAGTACATGAGGGAATGTAATATAATGACACAGTACATGAGGGAGTGTAGTGTTATGACACAGTACATGAGGGAGTGTAGTGCAGGGTTCGACATTCACGCTCGTCACCTCGTCATTTCCATCCCGGAATGGTTTTGGACGACCTGAATTTTAGTCGGGCTCGCCCAAATGACGACCTGGTGACGAGTTTGGAATATTCAATAATTATGTTAACATTTTTAAAAATAAACTTGATAGTGAGCATTGTGAAAAAAATGTTTCTTATATCTCCATATTAATAACTGTTTCTTGTCTTCGTTGTTGTATAAAATAGTAATACGGCTTTTGAAGTTCCAAAAATGTCCGGTTTACATTTTATAATACAGAGCACTTCCGTTAAAAAAAAACATGTGGGCATTTTTGTCGAGAGTGAAAAAACCTGCTCCAAAAAAAACAAACTACGAAGAAATTGCAAAGAACGATCTTTCAAAGTGTCTTGGGGTGAAGGGCGGCCGTGGCTGAAATATGAAGATGGCAGAATGTTCTGCACTTTCTGCAAGGAAGCTGGTGTTATCTCCGACTTTTGTCGGGGGTCCACCAGCTTTCGAATTGACTCGGTAAAAAAACACGAAAACTCCGACAGTCACAAACACTCGGCAGTCATCGCCACCAACAAAACAAAACAGGTTTGTTTTATTATTTATTGTCACAGATAAGAATTAATATTTTTCTTAAAACAGTACGATCATGATATATATTGCTCAGAGCAAAATGCCAAATTAAAAAATGATTTTATTCTTAATTATTAGCCTGGTACACGACCTGCAGAAAAAGCACTTCAAAACCTGAATAAAGAGAATATAGATAAACTTATTATTTTATTCAAAACGGCCCATGCACTGGCAAAAAATAACAGGCCGTACAGTGACTTTGAGTGGCTATGTAAATTAGACATTTCAAAAGGACTGGTACTAGGAAATACCTACATAACTGATAAGTGTTGCAGTAATTTTGTTAATGCCATCGCAGCCATAGAAAGAAATAGGACTAAAGAGGCAGTGGAAAATGTTAAATTCCTGTCGATATTATGTGATGGATCAACCGACCAAGGCATAATTGATAATGAGATAGTATATCTGCGAATGGTCATAAAGGGAAAGGCAGAGGTTAAATTTATTGGATGTAAGCAGGTGACAAAAGCTGATGCCAAGGGAGTTTTTCTTGCTATGAAGCGAGCTGTGGAAGGTACATTACTCAGTACTTCAATTACTTTATTAGATTTACAGTATTAATCAAATTGCAATAGTCCAAAGACAATCAAAATTTTTAATTTTATACTAATCTTTTTCAAACAGGAGTTGGGCTTGATTGGTCACTAACACATAAGAAAATGGTGGGTCTTGGTTCTGATGGTGCCGCAGTTATGACAGGCAAAAAGACTGGTGTTGCTGCCTTGATGAAAGAACACCATCCTTCAGTCATTTCCATTCATTGTCTCGCCCACAGGTATAACTTATCTTTAATTTATACAATCACTGCAAGATGGACATAACACAAAATCTAACAGGAAATTACGAAATTTAATTATTAATTAATTTTGGTCAATCATGATCAATGAAATGTAATTACTGCTGAGCTTTTACAAATGTATTTATTTATGTTGTTAAGATTAGAGCTGGCCTACAAAGATGCTTTGAAGGGGATCAAAGTAGCAGAAAAGGTTGTCTCTGGACTTTTACTAGGGTTGTACTACTTTTACCATAACAGTCCATTGAATCGGGCTAATTTGAAAGAGTCATATAAAACCCTTGGAATAGACATGAAGATGCCAACAAGAGTTGGCGGCACCAGATGGGTTGGCCATGTTTTACTGGCATTGAAGAACATGTTCCATGGATATGCTGCCATCAAATAACATCTTTATCAGGTGCTTACTTAATAGAATGCCCTTCTGTTTATTGCTAGAATTAAGTTTAGATGAACTTTGAATCTACCTTAATCTAAGCATTTTTTGATAAAAACAAATAATTATTTATTTTTCAGCTTGCATTTGGGTCAGGTGTGCAAGCTATTGCCAAAAGTAAAGCCCTTGGTCTCTATAAGATTCTTGTAGATGACAATAACATCACATTTGCAGCCTTTCTTCTTGACATTCTGTCTCTTCTTCACATCATGTCTCAAGTATTTCAGAGGGGAAGAAAGTTGCGTGGCTGATATACACAGGGCTCTCAACTCCTGTCTTTGCTCACTCAACAGATTTTCTGAGATGTAAGTTTACATTTCAATTTTTATTGCATAAAATATAGAACCATTTGATATGACTATTGTGGCTGGGTTTAATTTAATGAATACTCTTGAATTAGTGATGGAGCCTATCTGACAAAGCTAAAGTCAGGTGATATGGGACCAGTGGTTTCAAGTGAAAACCTGGCATCATTTTCAAAAGCTAGGACTACATTGCTAGAAAATTTAAAAATCAGATTGGCACAAAGATTTGAAGATGCAAATATTGGAGTTGTTAAAGCTTCAATAATTGTTGACTTTAAATGTTGGCCAGAAAAGGACAGTGAAAATAAATGGGAAGGTAACACAAGTTAAACATTTATAGTTGAGTTACTTTCAGTAATCCCTTTTTATTTTCAAATTGTTTTTTTGTTGTTGATAATTTATTAAAAGCTATATATGGCGTATCTGAGCTAAAGAATAAAAATACGAGATTGAGTGTAGATGAACATGAAATTTGTCATTTACGTTCAAATTAAAATTATCATCGATTTAGAACTTGAATAACCTCACGTTTTTATTGTTAAATTGACTTTTTAAACTGTGTCTGATATTTAAACGCAGAGTTGGTAAATAAATTGGTTATTGTTTTAAAAATCCAATATCTACGAAACGCGATTGATTTAAATTGTGTAATTTACAGGAAAGTCCTATCTTTATAAAAAGTAATAAAACAAATAGAAAGATCTTTTTAATTTTAGTTAGTCTGAACTTATCAAAAATAAGTCATATATGACTTTAAATAAAATGCTGACTTATTAGGTTGTTATTAGGTTGTTATTTAAATCTAACATTTTGGGTATCTTTAGTTTTACTTAAAGTTATGTTACTTAATAATTATTGAAGTTGTTCAATATATTTTTTAATTGTACTATACCATTGATTTAAATTTAATAATCTAATAATTTAATTCTATGGAAAGGAATTGCAATACTATGGAATTTATACACATTTTTATGAGTAATTGTGCTGAAATCATCAAGTTGTGATTTACTTTATACTACAACTGTTCATTTTTTTAATTCATTTTTACAAACAATGTTGCACTACTGATAGATTTTGGTGATGAACACGTCAGGACAGTAGCTGCTCATTTTCGCCAGGACTTGGAGACAGCAGATGTTGTATTTCACGAGTGGGTCTTTTTGAAATCAGACATATATGGAAGGTAAAGAAGTCAATTCAAAGAAAGACTCCAAATCTAAATGTATCTAAAAATGTTTATACATTCATTGAATTATTTATTTTATTGACATAGCTTCCCAGATGTACATGTGTTGTCTTGGCCTGAAGTACAGAGGCAATTCACTGGATATGAGAACATCTTTGGACTCATTGACCTTCTGATGACTTTGCCATCCTCAAGTTCGGAGTGTGAAAGAGGTTTTAGTCAGATGAAAAAGATCAAAACAGAAACCAGAACCAGACTTACTGAAGCATCATTGGATGACCTTATGACAGTCCACCTTCATTCAGATGCTATTGACAAGTATGATATAATATAAAAATGTACATGTATTTTCACTTGATAAGGGGATTTTAGCATATTATGTATTACTATACTCACAAGCACACTATTTGACAAACATGTTATAATATTAATTACAATACATTGATCATTCTCACTGACAATTTAAAAGATGAATTAAAATAACTTTTAGGTTTGATCCAATCCCTGCAATTAACAAGTGGACTCATTTGGCACTGACAAAGAGGAGACCACAGTTTAATGACAAAAAAAGGGTAAGTGGTTGCATGAAATTCAGTTTAGTCACCTGTGCAATGGAAAAAATAACTTCCCAGAACTTTTCAATCTACTGCAATTCAGACTTCATTGTATGATTTAAAATCAAAATGATGAATAGTACAATCAGATGTAAACTCAATTCAACACTTTTTAGAAACAACAGACCCAAGGACAAGGAAGAGAAAGAGAAAAGAGAAGATGCGAGACAATTGAAATTATGAATAATGCTGAAAATCAGATTGAAAGTGTTGAGAGAGAGGGGACTCCAATTTTGATTGAAACTGCAGAGATAAATGTGACTTGGAGTGAAACTGTTGCGGAAGACTCTAGGGATGAGGAAGAGACTGATGAGGAAATGAATGAGAATGGGGAAATAAATGAGGATGAGGACAGTGAGATAGATTCTGAAAATGATCTCAGTGAAGAGAGAGTCAACGAGATTCTGTTTAACTATGAAAAAGAAATAGAGAAAGAAATGCAATAAAATGATTTCACATTTTGTTTAATTTGATATTTTATTCGGGCGACCTTAAATTCATTCGGGCAACCTGAGATCAGGACCAAGGTTGCCCGAATGGCGAGTCCAAATTCTGACGAGTGTTGAACCCTGTAGTGTTATTACACAGTACATGAGGGAGTGTAATATAATGACACAGTACATGAGGGAGTGTAATGTAATGACGCAGTACATGAGGGAGTGTAATATAATGACACAGTACATGAGGGAGTGTAATGTAATGACACAGTACATGAGGGAGTGTAATATAATGATACAGTACATGAGGGAGTGTAATGTAATGACACAGTACATGAGGGAGTGTAATGTAATGACACAGTACATGAGGGAGTGTAATATAATGACACAGTACATGAGGGAGTGTAATGTAATGACACAGTACATGAGGGGTGTTATGAAACAGAATATGAGGGAATATAACATAGAAAACATATAACAGGATTTGATTTAAAGAGTTTTAATTATGCAGTGCACTGTTACACAAGGATTATAATAGGGATATAGAGATATTTGAACAGTAAATTGATGGGATGTGATGTAAAAGTGTTATGTAACATGTACATGTATATTGAATAGAGAGGAACGACAGTACTTCTACAGAGCCTGTTCTCTACGCTTCCTGTCAGACACAAGGAATTCCAGAGAAATGTCAAAAAGGAATTCAATAAAATGATTCAGGTGCTGAACTCTTACTGCATTATCAGTACTGGAGTCAGGATTACCTGCTCTAATCAATCTAAGAAAGGGTAAGATCTTCACCGATTTTCTCAAACGCTCCTCTATACTTTATTTTCACAAAATATTCATCGAGTATTTTAAGACAAGTAATCATTAATGTTAAAATGCAAGAAATGGATACCAAAATAAAAATAATTTTCTAGATTTTTAAAGTACATGTGGTTTTTTAGTTATTCTATAAGATATGAGGAAATTTATTTGTATCACACATGTATTGGAATATTAAGCAATATAGCAAAAGCTGGGCGCGGATTGAATATCTATTGTAAATTAGATTTAGTATAGATATTAATATGGTAATAAATAGTTTTTTTTTAATAAATAGAGGGTGGTCAACAGTGGTGTCTAGCAATGGAAACCAAACCTTGAGGGAAAATATAGCAGATGTTTTTGGTCCAAAACAGGTAGATGCACAGATATTAATTAAATATTCACACCTGTACAGATATTAATTAGATATTCACACCTGTACAGATTTTAATTAGATATTCACACCTGTAGAGATATTAATTAAATATTCACACCTGCTTTGGAAGACTGTGTTTGTGAACTTATCTTAGGTTGATTCATACTTTTACTACAGTATTGTGTGTCCCTCAACCACAAAATTAAATTCCCATAAACCAATATTTTTTTTTCAAACCACGAAAATTTGATCGCAGGAAAATAAGTGATTTTTAATAGTATACAAAATGTAACTAAGTTATCAGTTAAAACTGGAGCTAAATTACCCTATATATTTTAAATGAGATTTCAGTGAAAGCAGTACATATATGTATATTAGCATTTTCTTATATTGCTGTAATCTTACTCCCACTCGGCTTACAGATGCAGAGTCTTACAGAGTTTGTGACCTTTGACCCAAGTGACGATGTCTTGGATGAGTACAGTCTCAAGGTCAACAAGGACATTGTAAACCGCTTCAGGTCAGTTAACTTTAAATGTTAGTTTGTGATATTGTTAACTTTAGTCAAGTAAGGAGAATGGATTTAATCTAAAGTATTGAGGGCTATGTTTGTAAGTGTGCCCATGGTGTAGGTTTTCTCTGTATGCAGTATTGAGGGTTATGTTTGTAAGTGTGCCCATGGCATGGGTTTTCTCTGTAGTATTGAAGGCTATATTTCTGATGTTTAGATATTTTCTGTTTGTAGTATTAATGGCTATGTTTCTAAGTGTATAGATATTCTATGTTTGTAGTATTGGTGGCTATGTTTCTAAGTGTATACATGGTGTGGGGAGGAGTGCTACAGACAGACAGTTCCTTTTCATCAACAAACGGCCCTTTGATTCAGCAAAGGTTTGTCTTATCTTTTGTATGATACCAAAATTTGGCTATACTTCTGGAGAAATTAAATCTTACAGTAAAACTCAGATAAAGTGAAGACTTGTGAATTTACTTCACTCTTTCTGTTATTTGTTTATCTGTACAATAAATTTGTTAAATTAAAATGTATATGCAGTGAATTTGTAATATACACATTTTCCTTGAAGTATGACTATAGAATATACATGTGTTGAGGTAAGTTTACAACTATAAGAGGTGTAAATTTCTTCATTTTCAACCTCTGTGGGACACAAAATCAATTCACCACATCTTTAAATTATAATATCAGAGTTTATTATGTAGTCTATATATATTCTTTATCTAATCTATACAAACACAAACAGTTTATAACATTACATATTCACTGAATTTGAAGATGTATTCACCGGAGGGTCAGTGTGCATTCAGCGGTGATTGTGACATCACAAACGATACCTCAAATAATATTGTAACAATGCTTGCAATGACCGGAGCCAGCAGTGTACATCTGAACAGAAAAATGTTAGGCAAACCTATCACCGTATTATTATCCAAATATTTTGACGGAAGGAAATGATGTCTTACACACAACGAAAGAAAGATACTGGAATGATAGCTTATAATCTGAACAATTTCAAATCATTCTGTAAAAGAAGTTTGTTAATGAAAGTGGTGTCATCATGCAGCCTTTAATGTTTTATTTATTCGAATTTGGACAATATAATAAAACAGTTACGGACTCTTTTGGTGGTGAATATGGTTTGATTTTCAACAGAAAAAACCCAATATTGACCTCGGCTTTGCCTCAGTAAGCATAAGTTTTGACAAAGAATTCTTTAGAATTTTACCATGGATCCCAAAAAACTTTGCTTTATCTCTAAATTCACTATAACTGTGTTTGTACTAAATTATTTTTTCTGTACTTTCCATGAAAATGCCTTCAAAAGATTGACAGTTGTTTTGTTGCATGATTAGGTTTCAATTATCTTCCAGATTACAAAAGTAATAAATGAAGTCTACCATCAGTTCAATCGTCACCAGTACCCATTTGTGGCAATTCATATCAACATGGATAAAGGTTAGAATAAGTTCCGTTAGAATTGACAGAGTACAATACTTGATTGCATTAATACATGTACAGTTGAACTTTGATATGTCAAACATTGATATTTTGAATGCCTTGGATATGTCAAAGTCACTTAGAAGTCCCAACCACTTTTCCTTGATGTCTTTTACCCTCAATATCTCAAACCCTCAAATATCTTGAATTTTTTTCTCAGTCTCGTCAAGTTCAAGATATCGACGTTTGACTGTATTTTTGAATGCATTAAATGTTTTTTTTTTTAAACAAAAATTATCTTTGAAATAGTTTATATGTGTTTATGGTTTAAAATTGTATACAATACTATGTAGGCCATCAAGTATTTGACCTTCAAATTGATTGCATATGAACAACAAAATTGAATTCAAAATTATAATTTGGATTTATCTTCATCTACAATAGAGCTAACAAAGTTGACAGAGTTTTTTATGAGAGCTTATTAGAGAATTCAGCTACATAAATTGTTAGAAAGATGTATAAATTTCATCATATTAAATGCAGATGATGGTGTCGCTGTCATTTCTGATTGTTGTCTGTGATAGTGTATAGTGTATGTTTATCTATTGTAGAATCTGTTGATGTGAATGTTACACCAGACAAACGTCAGATATTTATGGAAAATGAAAAGATTCTACTGGCTATAATTAAGGTAATCTATTTCTACTGGCTATTTAAGGTCATATGCAACATACATGCTCATACATGTATATTGTACAATGTACCTTTCCCACTGACAATATTCCAAGATATTCTTAATTTAAAATCATAGTACCATTAGATGTTCTTAGACAAAAAATTAGCATACATTACCAGGAGTTTTTAACAGATATCAAATGAAGAAAATCCTTGTGTTTTTAAAGAAAAATCAATAAAAATATAGTTTAAGCTGGTATTTCCTCAAAACTTTGATTCAGAAGAGGTGTACAGCATTACCAGGCATAATAAAATTGCACAAAGGTTCCTCAATTATTGGAACTCTTACATTATACAGGAAATAAGAAAATAAAGTTCAACACCATGTTGCATTTGTCCTTAATAAGTCTCGAATAGACTCAGGCTACTCCAGGATAATGGGGTTATATTCCCATAAAAATTCTAGACTGTGAATGCATTGGGTTATACGTGTATCACATACGTATGTTGTCTAACTTTTTAGACATCTCTTCTGAGGATGTATGAACCCACTGTGTCCACCTATCCTCTGTCTATGATCACTGATAAACTGTTCCAGAAAAACTCAACCCCAGAGAAAATCTACTCAGGTGAGTTTGCCAAAAATAAAACTTGGCCTCATTAAACATTATTTCAGGTGAAAAACTCACAGCATCAGAGAAATTCCTCTAAGATGAGTTTGTTAGAAAAACTCAATCCCAGAGATATCCCGGGTAAGTTTGCTAACAAAATCCAGTCACAGTGAAAGCCATCTTAGTTTCTAGAAAAAACTCAGCCCCAGAGAAAGACATCATGGATGAGATTGAATATTAAGTGAATGATGGATTGGATCATTTGATGGTGTAATTTTTATGTGATTCTATCTGAAGTCTTTTTTTGTACTTTTATTTTCAGACTGTGAGAGAGAAGGAACAGACAAGTAAGTAATCAAAACCATTGTTTAAAAATTCCGTAGAATTTAAAAATAGTAGTTCTTAAATAAAGAAATTTTACAATGTTGTGTGAGAGGTATTAATGCTTTTTAAAGTTGCTCTAAGTATTACCCATCTTGTATTTATTTTTCCAGTCAGTGCAGTGGAACAAAAAATCAGGTAACTCTTGAATATAAAATCTAGTATACAGTCAAACCTTGTTATCTCAAAGTTGATGGGACTGAAAAAAACTGTGATTTCCAAGAATTTGAGTTATTGACGTTAAAATACATAAAGAGAGAGTAGTATTAAATGACATCCACATCACTTTGACATATCCATGTTAAACATGTTGAACATATTGGTATTGATGTTCAAGATGCATTAAAATCTGTGTTCAGTATAGTAATCATGATGTCTAGTTGTCTGTTTGTCTGCCTGTCTGTTTCTGCTTCCATTAAGACTTTGATATGATTACTTATTGAGTATGTTTCAACCTATGGACTTCAAATGGAATTTTTAGCAACCTTCTAATTTAAGATAGCAATGGCCTTGGTAATGATAATAATAAATGTTGTTAATTATCAATCACAAATATTTTCATAGAAAATAAATGGAGTTATTCCCAAAAATTGATTTCGCTAATAATAAATGCACACTATAAGGAAAATCGCTGAATTTGCTTGTCGCTAAAATAATATGTAATACAGTACTGTAAAGTTTCTGGATGTACCGTAAGAGGAAAACACCAATTTTTGTACCATTTGTACAAAGGTTACCCTAGTATTACTTGTATATCACAATACATGTATTTTACTAGTACATGTACATGTATTACATACACTTAAGGAATAACTGTCTAGTTTTTTGGTTTTATGATGTGATCAATCAATTCGCTTGTGTGATAATTTGCATAAATGCCGAAGGCGTTTATGCGTAAAATTATATCACGCGAGCAAATTGATTGATCATCATCATAAAACAAAAAAAAAACCAGAGAGTTATTCCTTATATTTACATTTTTACCTGATTCTTGATTCAATAAAAAGAAAAATTCAATAATAAGAAAACTCAGCATCCCCGTCAGGTGTATCACTAAGCAACACGCAGCAAAACAGCATGTCGTTCTACCACGTGCTGAGCAAATCGCTTTATGGGGTTATAAAGCCATTACCTTATTTGCAGTTTTATCTCAGAGAAAGACATTGGAAAATGTAAATATATTACAATACATGTATTATATATATTATTCATATACATCACAATACATGTACATGTATTATACTGCAGTATGTATATCAGGTTTCAGCACTGAGTAACCTGAAGAGAAAGTTTTCAAGTGTATTTGCCAAGACTGAGGCACTGGGAGCTACATCCCCCTCAACTAAAGAGAGAAGTCCGGCCTCAAAACGTTTGTTTTCTTTCTTATTCTTCAGAGTGTAATACTTTTTATTCTCTAATTGAAATCCCAGTACTCTTTAGCATATCCTTATTACAGAAAATTAAACTCGCCTTAAAAGTGTTGTACATAATGTACATAAAAAAAGTTATCATGTATGCAAGTAAGTATTTCATCTTGTTGTAGAGAGAAGGCTTGATCACTTTGTTTTCAAATCATCTCCTATGAAAGAAATAAAGAATGGAGTCAAAGAACTTGATTCACAGTGGAATAAATCAGAAGAGGCTGTTATCGTATTGGAAGAGGATGGTTATAAGTCCCCAAATTTCCTCACAAGGGAGCATGGTATGGATCTTATTAAGACAGAGAGTGGAGTTATGGGCCCTGGAGGAGACTGTTATAGGTCAGATCTGAAAGTCATGTTTCATGAATCAGAAAATGTGAATTCTGTCACCAACCAATGCAGTGCAGAAGCTTCATCAAATTCTACATCAGAGGATGGAATCTCAAACTGTAATCTATCGTGTTCAACTGACTCCCAAAGGGCATATGGAGAAGAGGATCTTATGTGTTCAAACAGCAGTAACCCTGCCATTAATGTTGAAAATTACATTGAGTCTTCCATAGACAATTCCAAAATTAATATGTGTTCAAATAAAACTAATCAAAATACCACTGAGTGTTCAGATGATAACTCCTTGTGTTCAAACCTTTATTCTTATAATGTGAGAGAGGGTTCTGACAAAAGTCTCTGTGTTACCTCAAATTGTTTTGAGGATGTCCAGTTGCCTTCAGAGAGTACTTCTGGTGATATAATCAAGTTTTCAAACAGAGACAGTGATGATACAGATATAAAGGTATATACCGTGTGTAAATCCTCCAGTGTGTCCACAAACCAGCCAAAAATCTCATCTACCACAGACAGCATCAATCTGACAGTCACAAGTCTGGTATGCATTAATAAACAAGATTCTTCCTCAAATGTTTTTATTTTCACAATAAACGAATGCATTAATGATCCATCTCAGGAATGTTTCAAAGTTTTATTAGGTGACTCGAATCACTCAGGTGACATTGCTTATTGTATGCAAACCTGGAAATAATACACTGATGAAGAAAAGTTGAATTGTAGGATATGAAAGAATCTCTTTCCAGAAGAGAAACATCTGTACCATTCAGTTTCTTAAAGCTGAAAGAGAAATTAAAAAGAACTTCAAGTAAGTATGCTATTTTATGATATAAGTAGATATACATGTACCTAGTGCTAAAATACAGCTGTATAAACATGTTGATTTATTTTTCTTTGATTTTCAGAAGAAAAGACCACTGACAATGAAAGCTGTAGGAGATTCCGTGCGGTTATCTCCCCTAACGAGAACCAGTCAGCAGAGGAGGAACTGCAGCGGGAAATCTCGTAAATAATTCATTTTCAATCGTTATTAATCAGATTTATAATGAATATCAGCATAAAACATATCATATGTAATTTAATCTATAGCTGATAATTATGCATTTTGGATATAAATACCTATCGGTATAATTATTTATTATATGTCTATTGTCTTGACAGATGCCTTTTATTACACAAATAAGCATCCCAATACCTCCTGAAAATCCATTTCCTTTATAGACGGTTCCGATTTTCAAAATATGATAAGAAACGCTTATCATACTTAGTATCTGTGATTGTTCACATAAGTCTGATATAAAATTATTTATTTCAGAAAGAGCATGTTCAGAGAAATGGAAATACTTGGACAGGTGGGACGACAGATATTTATGTATTTCAAAATATAATGAAAACTTTAATCCATGTTTTTTTTTTTTTAATGATATTTATTTTTGCTTCAGAGATAGAACAACCATTAAAATTTGTACCGGTAACTTACTTTTCAGTTCAACCTTGGATTCATCATAGTGAAGCTGAATAATGACCTGTTTATTGTTGATCAGCATGCAACAGATGAGAAGTACAATTTCGAAATGTTCCAGAGGCACACTGTTATACAGAGTCAGAAGCTTATACAGTAAGTACACAATACATCAGAGGCACACTGTTATACAGAGTCAGAAGCTTATACAGTAAGTACACAATACACCAGAGACACACTGTTATACAGAGTCAGAAGTTTATATAGTAAGTACAAAATACATCAGAGACACACTGTTATACAGAGTCAGAAGCTTATACAGTAAGTACACAATACATCAGAGACACACTGTTATACAGAGTCAGAAGCTTATACACTAAGTACACAATACACCAGATACACACTGTTATACAGTCAGAAGCTTAAACAGTAAGTACACAATACACCAGAGACACACTGTTATACAGAGTCAGAAGCTTATACAGTAAGTACACAATACACCAGATACACACTGTTATACAGAGTCAGAAGCTTATACAGTAAGTACACAATACACCAGATACACACTGTTATACAGAGTCAGAAGCTTATACAGTAAGTACACAATACACCATAGACACACTGTTATACAGAGTCAGAAGCTTATACAGTAAGTACACAATACACCAGAGGCACACTGTTATACAGTCAGAAGCTTATACAGTAAGTACACAATACACCATAGACACACTGTTATACAGAGTCAGAGGTTTATACAGTAAGTACACAATACATCAGAGGCACACTGTTATACAGAGTCAGAGGTTTATACAGTAAGTACACAATACATCAGAGACACACTGTTATACAGTCAGAAGCTTATATAGTAAGTACACAATACACCATAGACACACTGTTATACAGAGTCAGAGGTTTATACAGTAAGTACACAATATACCAGAGGCACACTGTTATACAGAGTCAGAGGTTTATACAGTAAGTACACAAAACATCAGAGGCACACTGTTATACAGTCAGAAGCTTATACAGTAAGTACACAATACACCAGATACACACTGTTATACAGTCAGAAGCTTATACAGTAAGTACACAATATACCAGAGACACACTGTTATACAGAGTCAGAGGTTTATACAGTAAGTACACAATACATCAGAGGCACACTGTTATACAGTCAGAAGCTTATACAGTAAGTACACAATACACCAGAGACACACTGTTATACAGAGTCAGAAGTTTATATAGTAAGTACAAAATACATCAGATACACACTGTTATACAGAGTCAGAAGCTTATACAGTAAGTACACAATACATCAGAGACACACTGTTATACAGAGTCAGAAGCTTATACACTAAGTACACAATACACCAGATACACACTGTTATACAGTCAGAAGCTTAAACAGTAAGTACACAATACACCAGAGACACACTGTTATACAGAGTCAGAAGCTTATACAGTAAGTACACAATACACCAGATACACACTGTTATACAGAGTCAGAAGCTTATACAGTAAGTACACAATACACCAGATACACACTGTTATACAGAGTCAGAAGCTTATACAGTAAGTACACAATACACCATAGACACACTGTTATACAGAGTCAGAAGCTTATACAGTAAGTACACAATACACCAGAGGCACACTGTTATACAGTCAGAAGCTTATACAGTAAGTACACAATACACCATAGACACACTGTTATACAGAGTCAGAGGTTTATACAGTAAGTACACAATACATCAGAGGCACACTGTTATACAGAGTCAGAGGTTTATACAGTAAGTACACAATACATCAGAGACACACTGTTATACAGTCAGAAGCTTATATAGTAAGTACACAATACACCATAGACACACTGTTATACAGAGTCAGAGGTTTATACAGTAAGTACACAATACACCAGAGGCACACTGTTATACAGAGTCAGAGGTTTATACAGTAAGTACACAAAACATCAGAGGCACACTGTTATACAGTCAGAAGCTTATACAGTAAGTACACAATACACCAGATACACACTGTTATACAGTCAGAAGCTTATACAGTAAGTACACAATATACCAGAGACACACTGTTATACAGAGTCAGAGGTTTATACAGTAAGTACACAATACATCAGAGGCAGACTGTTATACAGTCAGAAGCTTATACAGTAAGTACACAATACACCAGATACACACTGTTATACAGTCAGAAGCTTATACAGTAAGTACACAATATACCAGAGACACACTGTTATACAGAGTCAGAAGCTTATACAGTAAGTACACAATACACCAGAGGCACACTGTTATACAGAGTCAGAAGCTTATATAGTAAGTACACAATACACCAGAGACACACTGTTATACAGAGTCAGAAGCTTATACAGTAAGTACACAATACACCAGAGGCACATTGTTATACAGAGTAAGAAGCTTATACAGTAAGTACACAATACACCAGAGACACACTGTTATACAGAGTCAGAAGCTTATACAGTAAGTACACAATACACCATAGACACACTGTTATACAGAGTCAGAAGCTTATACACTAAGTACACAATACACCAGAGACACACTGTTATACAGTCAGAAGCTTATACAGTAAGTACACAATACATCAGAGGCACACTGTTATACAGAGTCAGAAGCTTATACACTAAGTACACAATACACCAGAGACACACTGTTATACAGTCAGAAGCTTATACAGTAAGTACACAATACATCAGAGGCACACTGTTATACAGAGTCAGAAGCTTATACAGTAAGTACACAATACATCAGAGACACACTGTTATACAGAGTCAGAAGCTTATACAGTAAGTACACAATACACCAGATACACACTGTTATACAGAGTCAGAAGCTTATACAGTAAGTACACAATACACCAGAGACACACTGTTATACAGAGTCAGAGGTTTATACAGTAAGTACACAATACATCAGATACACACTGTTATACAGAGTCAGAGGTTTATACAGTAAGTACACAATACATCAGAGGCACACTGTTATACAGTCAGAAGCTTATACACTAAGTACACAATACACCAGATACACACTGTTATACAGAGTCAGAGGTTTATACACTAAGTACACAATACACCATAGACACACTGTTATACAGAGTCAGAAGTTTATACAGTAAGTACACAATACACCAGATACACACTGTTATACAGTCAGAAGCTTATACACTAATTACACAATACATCAGAGGCACAATGTTATACAATCAGAAGCTTATACAGTAAGTACACAATACACCAGAGACACACTGTTATACAGAGTCAGAAGCTTATATAGTAAGTACACAATACACCAGAGACACACTGTTATACAGAGTCAGAAGCTTATACAGTAAGTACACAATACACCATAGACACACTGTTATACAGAGTCAGAGGTTTATACAGTAAGTACACAATACATCAGAGGCACACTGTTATACAGAGTCAGAGGTTTATACAGTAAGTACACAATACATCAGAGACACACTGTTATACAGTCAGAAGCTTATATAGTAAGTACACAATACACCATAGACACACTGTTATACAGAGTCAGAGGTTTATACAGTAAGTACACAATACACCAGATACACACTGTTATACAGAGTCAGAAGTTTATACAGTAAGTACACAATACATCAGAGACACACTGTTATACAGTCAGAAGCTTATATAGTAAGTACACAATACACCATAGACACACTGTTATACAGAGTCAGAGGTTTATACAGTAAGTACACAATACACCAGAGGCACACTGTTATACAGAGTCAGAGGTTTATACAGTAAGTACACAATACATCAGAGGCACACTGTTATACAGTCAGAAGCTTATACAGTAAGTACACAATACACCAGATACACACTGTTATACAGTCAGAAGCTTATACAGTAAGTACACAATACACCAGAGACACACTGTTATACAGAGTCAGAAGTTTATACAGTAAGTACACAATACACCAGATACACACTGTTATACAGTCAGAAGCTTATACACTAATTACACAATACATCAGAGGCACAATGTTATACAATCAGAAGCTTATACAGTAAGTACACAATACACCAGAGACACACTGTTATACAGAGTCAGAAGCTTATACAGTAAGTACACAATACACCAGATACACACTGTTATACAGTCAGAAGCTTATACAGTAAGTACGCAATACACCAGAGGCACACTGTTATACAGAGTCAGAAGCTTATACAGTAAGTACACAATACACCAGAGACACACTGTTATACAGAGTCAGAAGCTTATACACTAAGTACACAATACACCATAGACACACTGTTATACAGAGTCAGAAGCTTATACAGTAAGTACACAATACACCAGAGACACACTGTTATACAGAGTCAGAAGCTTATACAGTAAGTACACGATACACCAGAGACACACTGTTATACAGTCAGAAGCTTATACAGTAAGTACGCAGTATATCAGAGACACACTGTTAAAAGAAATCAGAAGCTTATACAGTAAGTACGCAATACATCAGAGGCACACTGTTATACAGAGTCAGAAGCTTATACAGTAAGTACGCAATACACCAGAGACATACTGTGAAACAGTCAGAAGCTTATAAAGTAAGTACACAATACACCAGAGTCAGAAGCTTATACAGTAAGTACGCAGAAGCTTATAAAGTAAGTACACAATACACCAGAGTCAGAAGCTTATACAGTAAGTACGCAGTATATCAGAGACACACTGTTATAATGAGTCAGATGGTTATACAGTAAGTATGCAATACACTGTTCAGAGTCAGGAGCTTATACAGTAAGTACACAATACACCTGATAAATGTATATACAGTAAGTACACAATACACCTGATAAATGTATATATACACGTAAGTACTTAATACACCTGATGTAGATTGTACAAACAGTTTTCAATAGTCTATACACTGATTATTCAGAACACAGTTGTATATACAACTGATATGGGTTCTATAATAGTTAACAAATGATCATATTTCCGTTGCAGACCCCAGAACCTGGAGTTGACAGCAAGCAATGAAACTATTCTGATGGACAGCCTGGAGGTCTTCAAGAAAAATGGATTTGACTTTATCATTGATGAATGTGGTATTTGTCATTCTTGCTAAATTACTGTGCTCTGTTTTGACATTGGATCTTTTTTTAAATCATTAATTGCTCTTTAGTAGACTTAGATCTACACGGAAATCTTGAAATTACAGTATTGCCTACATCATAGTCAATGTTTATATTATATTCAATATCAGGTGTTATTTTGGTTTACTTTCAAAATCTATCAGCTATCATGAACAGTTAAATTTCTGAAATGTTTCATTCTTTGTGTGTTTGAAGAGGCATTTCTCAGACTCATACCCAGTGATAAAATATTCAATATTAAACCAACAATGTAATGATGAAAAAAGGAAGATACTAGGAATGGAGAAAATCCTCATTATGTTGTAGAGGGATTATTTTTCCTCCAAATATTATGGACAAAGAGGTCATCCTCACAATAACACAAAACAGAATTTACATTATTCTGGTCAAAGTGTTCATTAAACAAACCAAACCTGTAGTGATTAAATTTGTTCATTGACATTTCAGCTCCTCCTATGCAGAGAGTAAAACTTACATCAATCCCCGTCAGCAGGAACTGGACATTTGGCAAGGAGGGTGAGTAAATCTTGTGTAAATCATTTACAACACATTGTCATTTAGATCAGGGTTGGTACACATGTAAATACTTTTACTTGTAAAGAATTTAAGGTTCAATTTTCAAAGTCCAAATTTCCGGTATGTGTGGATAATTTCATGAAAAATAAAAAATGCTTTCTTGAAATGTCATTTTAAGAAAAAGTGCTTCACAAGAATTTTTGCGTAATCTGAGACAAGAGCACTACAATATCAATTCTGATAGTAGCAAATAAATTTGGAATTGAAAGAAAATATCTTTTATCATAATTTCAAAAATTTTGATTTATGAATGCTTATGTTTGACTTGAATGGAAACATTCACCATTTGCACCGATTTTGCATAACTTAAGAGTTATAGTCGGTTAATTGTATCTAATTTTGGCAAGTGGTCAACGACTTCTGAGTTGATTAGTTTGATAATCAAAGGTCATATGATTGATGATTTGCAAGCTTTGATATCTAAACATACCAACGAACCGTCACCGAAAGATAAAAAATACAAGGTAACAGTTGGATTTTCTGGCTAAAAACTTATGTATTACATAAATAAATCCATATAAAGTAAAATGAATTCCTGCTTTATAAACAACATCATGTCTTAAAAATAGCTGCAAACATTCAGGTAGCGAAGGAAAGCAACTATAGTGACTTTGAAATAAACATGTTTTTCCCCAACACAACAGGGGGTAAATATGATTACATATAATTATCATTGCAAAAAATTATGACATTTGAGCAAGTAGAAGTGTGAAAAATAACTTATGAAAACACCCCAAATCGCGCAGTTTTCTTACCGCTCCTTCCAAGGAGTCGCACATGTGACATCACAGACCATGGCACACGATTCTCTCTTCAAATATGCATATTGCAAGATTCAACTTTTAGACCTTAAAAAGTGCAATAAATTGCCATTTTTTCTTTTTTCATTGTATTTCCCACTATAACTCATCAGAAGGAATGGATTCATGGCAAGAATTTCGAACTTTTATCTTTTAATAAAAATCCTTTTAGCAATGAAGTTTTATCATTTACTCATTAATTTGGATTGGGCATGTACATGTGTACAACTTGAAACAAGCCAGTTTGAAACAATTTTTTCAAAAGTTCATTTTGAATTTTGGCCATTGCCACCAAGTGTATGTTGCAGTAGTTATTTCAAGAGTTTATTGGAGTGTGACCACCATATAAATCCTGAAAGTGCTATGTCATAACATTTTTGTGGAAAATCGTGAATAATGATGGATTCCTTTGTGGGAATGATGACCATTCTCACAATGTTCAATCCTCGTAGACATTGAATTTGCTGTTGTGTTTAACTTGAGGGATTGCTTTTTAGCTCACCTCGACGAAGTCGAGATGAGCTTATGCTATACCGTCGGCGTCGGTATTAGCGTCGGCGTCCCAGTTAAAGTTTTAGGAGCAGGTCCCATTCCCAAGAAACTATAAGCCCTACCTGGACCAAACTTGCATGGATAATGCATCTAGGGATGGACACTACCACTTGCTTCGGATGCTGGATCTGACCTAGATTTTCCAGATGAATGACCAGGTTAAAGTTTTTGGAGCAGGTCCATTCCCAAGTAACTGTAAGCCCTACCTTCACCAAACTTGCATACTATAAGCCCTACCTGGACCAAACTTGCATGGATGATGCATCTAGGGATGGACACTACCACTCTTGCTTTGGATGCTGGATCTGACCTAGATTTTCTAGATGAATGACCAGGTTAAAGTTTTTGGAGCAGGTCCATTCCTAAGTAACTATAAGTCCTACCTGGACCAAACTTGCATGCATGATGCATCTAGGGATGGACACTACCACACTTGCTTCGGATGCTGGATTTGACCTAGATTTTCCAGATGAGTGACCAGGTTAAAGTTTTGTAGATCAGGTCCATTCCCAAGTAATTATAAGCCCTACCTTGACCAAACTTGCATGTATGATGCATCTAGGGATGGACACTACCACACTTGCTTCGGATGCTGGATTTGACCTAGATTTTCCAGATGAGTGACCAGGTTAAAGTTTTTGGAGCAGGTCCATTCCCAAATAATGATTAGGCCTACCTGGACCAAACTTGCATGCATGATGAATCTAGGGATGGACACTACCACACTTGCTTCGGATGCTGGATTTGACCTAGATTTTCTAGATGAGTGACTAGGTTAAAGTTTTGTAGAGCAGGTCCATTCCCAAGTAACTGTAAGCCCTACCTTGACCAAACTTGCATGGATGATGCATCCAGGGATGGACATTACCACACTTGCTTCGGATGCTGGATCTGAGCTAGATTTTCCACATGTAAGACCAGGTTTAGATTTTTGAGCAGTCCTGTTCCCAAGTAACTATGAGCCCTACCTGGACTAAACTTTCATAGATGATGCATCTAGGGACGGACACTAACCAACCTGCTTTGGATGCTGGATCTGACCTAGATTTTCCACATGAGCGAACTTTTGCTATATTTTAACCAAATTAGCATGGATGATGTATCTAGGGATGGACAATTCCAGACTTGCTTTGGATTGTGAATCTGACCTACATTTTCCAGATGAGTGACCAGGGTAATTTTTAGAGAAGCTCTATAATATTATGGCCTTTTATGATTTAACTTGCATAGATGGTGCATCTAAGGATGAAAAATTCCAGACTTGCTTTGGATGTTGGAATTCACCACAATTTTCTTGATTACTAAACAGCTTAAAAGTTTTTTGAGCAGGTCTATTTCCAAGTAACTATAAGTCCTACTTAAACCAAACTTGCATGGATATTGACCTTGGGATGTACCCTAACTAGAAAAAAAAATTTATGCGAAATTTGCCTTACTTATAGATAACATTCGTCGAGGTGAGCTTCGTAATCTTTGATTACCTATGTTTTGAATTTGCTGTTGTGTTTAACATGAGGGATTGCTTTTTTGAATTTGCTTTTGTGTTTAACTTGAGGGATTGTTCCAGAGCAGAAAGATTGGGGTGAAATACTGCACTGATTGAGCCTAGTTTGAAGGCAAAGATAAAAGACAGAAGTGATGGTGATGAGAGATATCACAGTCTCATTTTGCACAATAATACTCTATATGTACAACTGTAGCACCTGTGTGTGTGTACAGTTTAAATGTAACTATATGTATAAGAGAAGTGTAAAAATGTTTTATGAAAAATTGTTGACAGTATTTTACAAAATTATTTTTTCTTTACAGACATTGAAGAACTCATCTTTATGCTCTCCGACTCTCCTGTAAGTCTAGTCAGGGGCCAAAAATAAACGTCTTTATTGAAGTAGGGTTTTGATTTTGTCTCAGAAATTGTATTATCTTCTCATTTGATTAAAAACTGCCAAAGCAGCATGTTATCTGCAAATTGCAAAACATTTAATCTTGTGTTAGACAGTATTTAAAGAAAAATCAATAATGCAAAATTAAATGCTAATAGTGTGCTTCTCTGCTATTGATTTTTTTCATTGTTTCTTTTTATTAATATGTACATAGAATCTGTATTTAAATAGATAATGATGATCTCCAAGAAAATTATGTAAGGAGTGCCAAGTTTAATGTAGTGTATTGATCAGCAGTTTTTGTCGTTTTTCAGAATGTTATGTGTCGACCATCCCGGGTTCGCCAAATGTTTGCATCTAGAGCTTGTAGAAAATCTATCATGATTGGCACTGCTTTAAAGAAATCAGAAATGAAAAGGGTATTGTTTACTTTTTTTAAAGCTTTTGACAAAGATGACATGTTCCATAAATGTTACATAATTATTGTGTCATAGAGATCATTAGATATTTTAATATGTTGACTTTCTGTTTTCCCTAGCTTGTATGTCATATGGGAGAAATAGATCAGCCCTGGGTATGCATTTCCTCCATTATAGAAGTATTTTCAATTTTGTACATGACTTTCATGTAGAAAAACAATTCTGTTGAAACATTTCACGACAGAATGAAATTTGCCAAGGATTTTCCACTTGAGCATCTTTTTTTTCAGAATTGTCCTCATGGCAGACCAACAATGCGACATCTCATCAACTTATGTATGGTTCCAAGATAACAAAATCAGACTCAAGCCTGCACATTGTAACAAACAATAGACTTGATCCTTCTAAGCAAGCAGCAGACAGGTTCTGGAGTGTTGCAAGAAAAAAGCGAACTTTTATATTTACATGTAATAAATAGTACATGTATGACTGTAGAAAAAAAACTAAATAAACAGACTCAGTACTGGTAACATTTTCTGCCATCCTGTTTTATGTTTAATTTTAAATGAAGAAGTAAATTCTGTAGAAGCAAGGTGATTAAAAAAGGTCTTTTGTGGTAAATTCTTACAGAGGCTATAAGATGGGCCACTTTTCCATTAGAGTTTGTCTGGAGTTGTCTTTAGGATACTATTTAATTCAACAGCAATAAATATATTTGGGGGAGGTGGCCCCTTTATGGCTTCTCAAATGAATTACAAGATGGTTTCAGGTTCTGTTAATTAGGGCCCCGCTCTTCGGGCGCCCTATAGTGATCAGTCTGTCGGTCCATCCGTCCGTCCGTCTGTCCGTCCGAGATCTCTTGTCTGGTGCATATCTTCTCTCTCCTTGGCTCAATCTGGCTCATACTTCACCCACAGAGTGTATTTGGGTAAAGGGTGTGCAGTGACCTTGAACCGTGTTTCTAGATCTAAGGTCAAGGTCATAGCAGAATTATATGAAAAATTCTTGTTCGGAGCATATCTTCTCTCCTCTTGGTCCAATGTGGCTCATACTTCACTCACAGAGTGCCACTGGTCAATGGATGTGCAGTGACCTTGAACGAAGTTTCTAGGTCAAGGGTCAAGGTCAAAAATAGCCTCTCTGTTTAAATTCTTGTCCGGAGCATATTTTTTCTCTCCTTGGGCCAATCTGGCTCATACTTCACCCACAGAGTGCCTTTAGGTAAAGGGTGTGCAGTGACCTTGAATCATGTTTCTAGGTCTAAGGTCAAGGTCATAGCAGAATTATATGAAAAAATTCTTGTCCGGAGCATATCTTCTCTCCTCTTGGTCCAATGTGGCTCATTCTTCACTCACAGAGTGCCACTGGTCATTGGATGTGCAGTGACCTTGAACAAAGTTTCTTGGTCAAGGGTCAAGGTCAAAAATAGCCTCTCTGTTTAAAATCTTTGTTCGGTGCATAATTTCTATCCCTTAAGTCCAGTCAGCCTCAAACCTTACCAATTGACTTAGGGTACGGAACATTTGTGATTTTCCTTCCATATTTCTCATAGATGATATGCAACAATTATCATAGAGGATATGCAGCATTCATGATTTTTGTGCCGTTTTCTGATTGAGAGTATGGAGCACTCATGATTTTCGTACCATTTTTTATTATAACAAGAATAACATAGAAGCCCTTTAGACTCAAACAACACATCCCTTAATAGTACACAAATGTTCCTCTTCAAATTAAACCCTTTTAGCTACCTTACATTTTCATGTTCGTTGCTGAAAGCAGGGCCCTTTGAGATGGGCACCATCTCAATGATATCTAGTTGATGTTAAAGATATGTTGGTAATGAAGACTTTTTAGCTCACCTGTACCTAGGACTAAAGTGAGTTTTTCTGATCAAAAATTGGTTTGTTGTTTTCATTATAATTATAAACTTTGCACATTTCATCTTCTTCAGAACCACAAGCCATTTTCAATAAAACTTGACACAGAGTATCTCTGGTTGAAATGAATTAAAGCTTAATCAAATGATCAATGTATGCCTTCTTCTATGGGACAGTAAGAAAAATGGGGCAAGGATTTGGAAAGGTCATATAAAATTTTCATGAAGAACTAGTGGGCCACTTATGTGAAAGCATCCTGTCTTGGAGTAGAACTCATGGCCATCAGGGGAAGAATAATAGGGCCGCAGTAGGGGGATCAAATTCTTTTACATGGGAAATATGTAGGAAACAAGATGTGTTTAACACAAATGCCCGAAACATTGCTAAGTTTGATGTAAATACTGGACATACTATTTATGATGATATAAGATTTACAGGGTCTCCTGTTTGCAGACAGAAAGACAGTTGGGACAAAAACCACTTTGCCCTCAATCTTTGATCTCTGCAGGGCCATGATTAGTCATATAAATATTCAATCATCCTCAGATAGTGCAGATTCAAGTTTGTGTTGGGTAAATCATGTCCCCTGGGCTTGAATTTACACTGGACTGTACCTGCTCCAAAAATTGAACCTAGTCACTCATCCAGAAAATGTACATCAAATCCAGCAACCAAAGCAAGTCTGAAAGAATTACAAAATCCATGCAAGTTTGGTGCAGATAGGGCTTGAAGTTACAATAGGATGGGCCTGCTCCAAAAACTTTAACCTGGTCTCTCATCTGAAAAATGTAGGTCAAGACCAGCATCTGAAGCAATTCTGGTGTGTGCATCCCTTGATGCATCATCCATGCAAGTTTGGTTTAGGTAGGCCTTAATTTTTGGGGGGTAATAGACCAGCTCAAAAAAATTTAACCTGGTCACTCATTCAGGAAATATAGGTCGGATCCAGCATTCCAGTGCAAATCAAGTAGTGTGCTTCCTTTGGTGTATCATTCTTGCAAGTTTGGTCTACATGGGCTTATAGTTACTTCAGAATGAACTTGCTCCAAATGTTTAACCTGGTCACTCATCTTGAAAATGTAGGTCATTTCCAGCATCCAAACAAGTCTGGTAGTGTGCATCCTTAGATGCATCATGGTGATCCCTGCAAGTTTGGTCAATGTGCTCTTATAAGTTACGGTACTTATAAACTACTTCAAAAACTTTACCCTGCTCCAAAAACATTAACCTAGTAATTTTTGGCTGAAAATGCAGCATTTGAAATCTGATTGTTACAATGAAATATAATGTAAGCATCATCCATGCATCTCTGATCAATATAGGGCACAAAAGTACTGAAAAAGAAATCTGCTACAAAAACTTGCCCGGGACGCTGATGCTGAGGGTATTGCGTAAGATCCCCCAACTTAGTTGAGGCGAGCTAAAAAAAAAATTATTTAAATAACAGTAGCGCACCCCAGTTTAGTGCAGATTCATACTTGTTCAAATCATGGCCTCTTGGGCTATGGTGGGCAAAAAATAGGTATATTCAAAATTTTACTTGGGAGTAAATAGAAATTTGAAGGAAAAAAGGGAGAAGCAAGACAATATTAAATCATATATATTTATACTTTTTTTATTATTTTATATTTAGACAAACATTCTGACACTGTGTGCATGGATTCAGTGAAGTTTGTTCAAATTATGGACATTGAGGTTAGTTGGAGTTATAATCAGAATTTAAAAATTTTGACATCCCCCCTCCCCCGGTACATTTAATACACATAAATCTGTCTTGATTTTTTTCCTTACAAAACAGCAAGGCAACATTAATTATATTAATAATATTCAGAATCTCCACGTAGTTTGGATTAAAGTTTACTTAATTCATTGTACTAGGGACCACAGTTGAGCCACTATGTAAAAGTCAAAATTTCCCATGGTATAAATACAGAGAGAAAATTCTTTTAAAAACAATATTTTGATGCACAGCAGAGCCGAAGTTACTTCAGGTGAGTGTTGTGGCCCTTTGATCGCATGTTTTCATTCTTACAAACATTCACTTCATTTTGAATTTGAAATGGATACAAAGTTTTCTTAAATGCATTAGAAATGAAGTTGAAAGCTTTAATTGTTTGGTTTGGGGGGGGGGGGGGGGGTTGTTTGTTTGTTTTTTGGGGTTTTGTTTTTGGTCTAGAGATGTGGTGAATCACCGTAAGTTTTAAACGATGGAAGCAGACAAATTCTCCCACAATAACTGATTCTTCAATTAAGTGTTAATCAAGTTCTTTAATTTATTGGTATATGAGCTGTTGGATCACAAGGTGTGTAAATTGTCTTAACTAATTACAATCGCAAAACTAAATGACAATGCTGCATCAAAAGACAGACGTGTTCAGAATCGTAATTACGACGTATTGTTTAGACTGAAGCAGACACATCGATATGGTCTAAAGAAGTAGTAGATTTTAATATCAAATATTAATTCCACATATACAAGTTTGATATGTGTTTCTGATCTGATAATTTGTTGATGATTTTATAATTTATTCATGCGCGGATCTAAAGGGGGGGTCCGGACCCCCCCCCCCTCCCCAATGGAATTTGCAGAGTTACTAAAAGTATATACTGAAGCAAATAAAAAATGACTTTGGATCCCTCCCTTGGAAAACGTGGACCCCACCATTACCACCACGAAATATGTGTTTTTCACTTTTTGGTAATGGATTTTTTTTTGGGGGCTGGTCAAGAAATTTTTGGGTTTTAGAATTTTTTTTTAGTTGGTTGGACCCCCCCCCCCCTGGAAAAAATTCCTGTCATTGGAGAGTAATGTCCGCGGAATTTCTTTGATCTCAGCAATATCTGTAGTAGAATATTCAATAGAAAACACAGGAATTTACGGTTTACCCCCTATTGGCCCTAAATAACTTTGCCAACATACTTATCATACAATGGAACCAAGGTTAAGTTATAAATATTTGGTAAACCCCTTTTTTCGTGTCAAAATTTTATTTTTTTTTTCTGTTAGGTGGTACCTTCCATTGGAACCACCCAATTTCTTCCACAGGCCTGGTATGGAAAGGGTTCAGACCTTATACGAAGAATAAATCCCCCATTTGGGTTTGAATTTTGAGAAGGATAATACTCGAATCGTGTATTTATGATTGATTGGAACCGAAGAGATGAGCAACTGCAAGCTTGTATAGTTCTGGCAATTTTTAAGGAACGTGGCATGTATTTAAAATGCAGTTTGCACATGGAATGCAGACGATTTGAACTTTCATTGGATTAAAAATATCTTTTGATCATTTATAAATTTGTTTGTAACATATTGATTATTTTTTTAGGAATGTAAAATAGCAAAATCAGTTATCTATACTTTATTGCTTTATCAGTAAAATTTTGTTGAGAGGTCCGAGGAATAGCCCAATTTAGCTATAAAAATCGACATATATCCGACCAACATTGCCTACTTTTCTTATTTTGTTGCAACAGTATTTATCTTAAACTTCTCTATACCCTGAGTTGTATAAAATATTGTTATGGACAATTTTCAGTTCGAGTTAAATAAAAAGCACACACCTTCAGCAAATTTTATCGTAAATTTTTTCAACATGTGCACTTTCGTTACAGAGCCATTTTCACGATTAATTTATGAGCGGCAATTTCTCGTTTATTCATGAATTCGTCATTTTCTTTTTAGATGAAAAGAAACTGATTAATGAGAAGGGTATACGGCGCAGCGAATTCCATAAGATGGGGAGGGGGATAATCTGTGTTTTGTAGCTTATGACCAGAGAACTTTCGAAACTAACTGTAAAGTCATGTACTATGTACAAATTTCAGATTAAAAATATAAACTTAATAGCATGTCTGAGAACCGGTACTGTCGAAGTTTGGTCGCGAGCTATTTATTGTAAAAACAAAGAAAATAATTTTATATTAAAGTCTCTGGTTAACACATTCCTTTGACCATGGGTATAATTTATTCGATTGCTTGCAACCCTAAAATGGTTTGTAAAGCTTCTTTTATGAAAATCAATGTGTACTTTCCTTTATTGTATTTTCTATGTTTACTTTCTAAGGTCAAATATTTGATTTTAATAAATAGACGTAACATTCGACGGTGGCTTTTATGGAAATAAGATTGGTTTTAGGACTGGACTTTTAATTCAAGCTGGATACATATTCCGCTGGGAAAATTATTTAACAGGTATATGCTTTATTACCTTTCTTCATAATAAACTAAAAATTAAATCATAATGTTCCGAAAAATAAAATTGTATTTGTCAGTTAGATCTATATGATTCACATCGCGCGGGTTCAAGTTTCATGCAATTGGCGCTAGTTTTCACGCGAGGCTTTTCAGTTGCCTTGGTTATGATCACATGATCTTTACAAAAGTCTGCATCATCAATATGTAGATGGATGCCAAGAAATCAATACAGGAGGTTTGATATCCAAAATGAATCTTAAAACACGTTTTCTTAGAGAAGACCATTTGATTTAAAGTAAGCGTTTCCAGACGTGTCTTGGAAAAACAGTATAACGTTAAGTTCAAAAGCTTATATGAATAGATTGTTATTGATTTTCGAAAGATGATGAATGTTTTATTTAGAGTGTAAGTCCACTGTGTGTATCGTATGTCGTTATTCAATATGCGACATCCAAGAGTGTTGACATTTAGTAATGTTGCTTTTTCATTCTATACACATTTATACAGCGTCATTTTTTTTACTTCATGGAAGATAGGTTAACCTATTCAAAACAAAACTTGCCGGGAAAATGTGTCATGTGATACATGTGTGTCCGTGTATTGTGTAAATTTCATAATACATCTTAATATTTAATTAAAGTGGATTTTAATCCAATATAAAAATAAGATTTATCAATATTTAATGACAAGAACTGGAATAATGAAAATACACTTTGTGAAGTCGTTTGTCCTAACAATGTTAAAGAATAAAATGGCATTTATTACCAAATAATGGCCCAAATGGTGGGCATAAACATAAATATTGATAATTTTTAAAGTTTCATATGTATAGATGTGTTATTATCATTAATTTAAGATACATATGCATATATTTAATTAATATTACTACGTACGCATGTGCATTAAATGTCTGATACATCAACAAAGGATATATTAAACAGAAATCCACTTCTGCTTCATGTAGAATAAACAGATACATGATAAATGGAGAAAAGTAATAATTAAACTGCAATGGACAGTAAAAGTCATACAAAGTTCAACAACTTAACATAGTGAAGTAATGAATTAAAAGTAAATGAAAGTCGGTATCCATTCGTACCTATGAAATTTAATTCACAGAGCTTGCACATCAAATCAACATCTTCACAATTCATCAACCATAAAAATTGATTATTTATAGACATATTGTTAAAAAGATGACACATCAGTGAATCTACTGTACCAATATTGGTTGACACTTTATATTTTGCTACATTAATTAACATGTATTTAATTTGTTGAAGGACATAAACATCATAATTAATAAGAAACTGATGCATAACCATGACCAAAGACCTTGACGTGGACTCAATAATAGAGCAACTGCTTACAGCCAAAGACTCGCCCACCAAACAAGTATCAAAATTATTTTTCTAAAAGAAAATATCCACTGTTTTGTATAATTCTTGGTGACTTTTGTCTATTTTCCAAGGCCTATTAAAATAATTCAGTATACTTTTCTTTAAAGGTTCAGTTGCCAGAAACACAAATACGCCAATTATGTCAACTCTCCAGGGAAATATTTTTGGAACAGCCAATGTTAATTGAAATAACAGCCCCGGTGACAATATGTGGAGACATTCATGGACAATATGAAGATTTAATGAGACATTTTGATAACTGTGGATTTCCACCAGAGTCTAATTATCTATTCCTAGGAGATTATGTAGATCGGTATACAACTGAGTCTCTTTTCATTGTATCTAATGATTGTTGCATCATGAAACATCGTAAATAGCCCCAATACATTTTACTTTTCAATGATAGTTCAAAACATTTTCAAAAAGAAGGAGTCTAGTTCAATTGATGAGCTGTACTTTTTTTTTGTTTCAGAGGAAAGAGATCTTTGGAAACCATTTGTCTGATGCTAGCTTACAAAATCAAATATCCCAACAATTTCTTTTTATTGAGAGGAAATCATGAATGTGCTTCTATAAATAGGTATGCCAATATGTCACTAATAGAGCAGAATTAGTCTGTTTAAAGCCAATCGTTGTTAATAATCTTTTGCTTTGTGACATACATACTCGAGTACAATTATTCTCATTGCTGAATGAGAAATCAGTGCCTTGTCATACTGTTTCCTTTACATGTCCATTTTGCAGAATTTATGGATTTTATGATGAATGCAAGCGGCGGTACAACATAAAACTGTGGAAGACATTCACTGATTGCTTTAACTGTCTACCAGTTGGTAAGAAACTCTTGCATAAAAAGTATATTCCATTAAAGAGTATGTTTATCAATATCTTAAACCACATAAAATTTAACAGTTATATGGTGTTACTGTGAATTAAAAGCTCTTGTCATTTTATGCAAGCATAGAGTGTTATTTTTTTTTTTATTGAACTGTCTTAAATGTCACAAGGTGTAGATATATTTTCAATAGCATAACTGCACTATATCAATTTGTTATTACACATTCTATGATTTATGACGTGGAACTAATTGCAATAATTCTTTAGGCTTAAATTTCTAGATAGCGAATTCAAAAGATTTCTGTACTATTAACCAAATATTTCTAAAAATATTTTGAGTAGTCTGTCATTTCAGTTCTTTTGGTCATGATATTTTGGTACTATATAATATTATCATTTATAATAGGAAATTGATTATTCAGGATAGAAACTGCATAAAGTGCTGTCAAGATTGTAAAAGCTTACATTTTTTGAAAACTGAGCCAACAGCTAAGCACAAATATATGATCCTTGTACTACATTTTAACTACTGATATATTAAACTATTTTATGGCATGAAAACTATTGCACTATCTTCATGCTTTCAGCTGCACTAGTAGAAGACACCATATTTTGTATGCATGGCGGCTTATCACCAGATTTAACAGACCTAAAACAGGTATAAAAGCACCATTCATCAATAATTTTTCCCCCAAAAATCCAATGTTTTAAATACCTAAAACAGGTATAAAAGCATTATTCATCAATAATGTTTTTTCTTTTTTCAAAAACTCAATGTTTAAAATTGCATCCATTAAACACATCGACTATTTTTGACTTGTATACTGAAAAAGCACAAATTCTTTAAAAATCCCCCCCCCCCCCCCCCTCCTGTATATTTTGCAGATAAACTAAGTGCATGTTGTTGAAGAGCAAGGGTGCCTATTCTGAAATTATGAAAATTGTGGCCCCAGGGTCCGGGTTCTGGTGTGTGTGTGAGGAGGGGGGGGGGGGGCTCTATTATTTATATAGTGAAGATGCATTATTTCTTTGAAAATTTTCTTCTCTGCTACGGGGTGTTAAGCAAACAAAGTAAGTGCATAGTTATGATGAACAAGTGTGAGAAAGGGGGTCTGGTTTTAGGGCAGGGCTCTATAGATCAGATATTGGTATTAATCAAACAAACTAAGTGCATAGTGAGCAAGTGTGTCTCTTCCAAAATTGTGAATTTCATGGCCCCAGGGTTAAGGTGGGGCTGTGTTGAATCTGCAGTGAAAATATATTATTCTTTGAAAATCTTTCTGCTCCTGAGCATTTAGGAGGCAAACGGAGTACAATGTTGTAATAAGCAAGAGTATTTTTACCAGGTTTTTGAAATTCTTGACCACTTGGTCAAGTGTTTTGGTGTTGGGTAGGCCTCTATAAATTTGTAGTCTACAGAGAGAAGTTATTCCTTGCTATTCACCTAAGATAATTAATCAATCACTGTAAATAATGTAATTGAAAGGTAAATTGAATGAGAGAATTATACAAAAAAATTTTATAATATACAATACAAAATGTACTCTCATAGTTTTTAATGGTCAGGCAGAATTGTAATTAATAGATAAAGAGAAAGGTAAAAATACTTTTTTTGTACATTAAATGTTCTTAAAGAACAACAGAGGCCAATATGAGAGAAAATGAGATTGGTTTCTTAATAGTGCTCAAGCACTATTGTTTGTTTAGTCAGAATGGTGATTGTAACAAATGGGGGCAAATACAGGCAAGTTAATAGATATACGTTTATAAGTTTAATTGATGAGCACTAGACTAATTATTGTGTTATTCCCTGATCTCCCCAATTCTCTTGCTATTGGACAACATAGCTTCATCTGTCAATTTATATTGTTTTATTTTTTACTTCTGTGAGTCCTTACAATGTTGTATTATATACAGGTGACCCTTAAGCCCCTTGTTAATTTTTCAAAGGGAACTAGATTACACTTGCTGTTAGGGGACTAGTTATGCTTATGCAATACTCTCAGAAGCTTGTTCTGAATGAAAAGAATAATGACCCCTTTTCCTTCTCATCTACTCATAATCGATATTTAAGTAGGGTAGAAACTTATGTATCATTTTCAGAATTTAATTGCAAAATTGAACAATTATAAATTTGAAAATTTTATTTTACTTTTTCATCCCCATCTTTGCAGTCTGCGCTATAACTATTGCTATGTAATTTCAAAAAAAAAAAGAAAGAAAGAAAAGATTTTAATAACTTTCTTTAAACAGAATGTACTACTGTGGAATCATTAATGTTCGTGGAGGACCAATGTTCGTGGGTCACCATTATGCACGAATTTACATCCCCATGAACAATTATTTTGTGAACATATTTATTCACTGAATCTTCTGTATATCCTCTTTCCCAAGAACCAACAAAATTTTGCTTTCCCAGGAACATTGACCCCCACAAATTAAAATAATTCCACAGTAGTTGAAGGACATCAATATATATACATGCCCATATTTTCTTTATTAGATAACAGAGCTTGAGAGACCACTTGATGTCCCAGATCATGGTCTCATTTGTGATTTATTGTGGTCAGATCCTGATGAGGTAATGATCTATGAATGATCTTGTTCATGACCATAAGGTAAAAAAATTATGGAAATAAAAAAATATCATTGGGTAGATCCAGACGGAGAATTTGGACTCCCCTTATAGGATTTCAGTGTTATCAATTTTAAGGAGTAAAATACATAGGAAATTCTCCTTTCCTTCCCAAGATAATTGGACACTTTATAAAACCTTGGAAAATTTGGAGAATTAAAAATTTTTTGGACTGAATTTGGACCCAAAGAAGAATCCCTTCTTATCTTTTGAGTAATTCGATCTGCTTTTTTTTTTAAACTCCAATTTAAAGTTGATATACTTGTATACAACACATATTATTCATAAAATTTATTTATTTTTGATACACATACAATGTACTTTGATGATCCATTTAGTGAGTCAAAGTTCTAGCTTTTCATAGGTTTTTAAACTTGAAAACCTTGTTTATTGGCAAGTGTCAGATGCATTGTTTACTAAAAACTTCTTGAAATTTGAACATTGTTTATTTCACAGGATATTACAGGATGGGGAGAAAATGATAGAGGTGTATCCTTTACCTTTGGTGGAGATATTGTCAAAGAATTTTTAAAAAAGCACAATTTCAGCCTAATTGTGAGGGCACACCAGGTATTTCTTTACATTTTCAATGCAAAAGTTTCAAATATAGCAACTGTGCTTAGTATTTATTTATCAAAGAAAGCAACTTTCTTTACGCATTTTACAATTTTGTTTTCAACAATTTCTAGGTTGTCGAAGATGGATATCAATTTTTTCAAAAAAGAAGGGTAAGTTTGCTTTGTATAGTTATAAATTGATTTTTATTGAAATGTTTTAATAAATTCATCATATATTGGAACATGTATTTCTTTGATATATGTAAACACTGCTGACTTTTTTTTTAATGTGAATCATCTCGTATCGCAAAATAGTAAGTCAATTAGAACAATAAAATACTTTGTTGTGCTACATGTTGCAGAAACCCATAAGAATATTTATTTATTATACAATAAACATATTTTTTTCATTGAGTCATAATTCTGCGGAATCACAATTTCTGTTCAATGCATAGGTAGTAAATTACACAGATTTCTTGGATTAAATGCCACTGCATGTATTAAATGCACTTAAAGTATGCTGTGACAAATTTCCACAGAAAATTTGTGACCACGTACATTAATCCCATGCAGAAAAAAAGTATGTCTACCGTGTTCATATCTTTGATTAAATTATTCATACCAAGTTGATGAAAGTGCTTCAAATATTGCATTACCAATCCATATGTAAAGTATATGGAAGAGCAGTTACTCAGATGCCTTTATAAAACAGGATTTTACTTGTTTATAGAAGTAAATTGTTATCCATAAAGAAAACAGAAATATAGCTTTTATAGGAAATAAAAAAGAGAATTTCAATAGATGCAAACATAATAAAATAGAAGAAAAATAATTTTTATCATTTTGTAGCTGCTGACTTTGTTCAGTGCTCCTAATTACTGTGGAGAATTTGACAATGCTGGAGCTGTGATGAGAGTGACTGATGACTTGACTTGCTCATTCAAAATACTTGAGGTTTGAAAATTTAATGCATTTGTTTTTTAAAAAAAAAAAGGGGGGGGCAAGAAAAAATGAATAAATTGTCATCAGTAACCTTATTTCTTAGTTTATGTAATTTACATCCTTTTCCATGCCTTGTATTTTACAGCCAAAAACAGTGAAGACAGTAGCTGTAACTAAAGGAAAGAAATAGATCCTAGGACACACATTGCTGTATTCATATAATTGGTTGTGTACCAGTACTGTTTCTATTTATATTGTTTCATGTATTTTGTAATGCAACAAAGTTGCACATCAAAGGATAAGTCACAGACACTTCTCCTGAAGGAATTATTGAATTCTTTTCAAAGAACTAAATTTACTGATTAAGGTATTGTAATTTTAATTGTGTAAATCAATAAGAAAAATAGAGCAAACTGTTGTACAGTAGAAGATGTGGGAGACAGAGACAGCAGATAAAGTATGTCGTACTGTCAAAGGAAAGCTAAAACTTTGGAATATTGATACATGTATAAACAAACAAAAAAAGTTCTGAAAATTGTTTATCACACTTTTACTCGGATTTTGTCTTCGTATATGGGAATTTCATTTTTGAGTGATGCTATTCAGTGGTAAAAAAAGTGATAAAGATGATTTCTATATAATTCATTACTATGACTAACTAAGGTATTTGGTACTCTGGAGGCCAATTTTCAATGGTAGTATACATATTTCATCCCAATGTATTCTTCTGTCTGTAAGAGCCCCTACCAGTTTTCTTTTTTCTTTGAAAAGAGCATTTCTACTACGTCTTTAAAAAACTTGCATGGATGTTAATTAAATATTTAAATCAGCCTGCAGTAAAGAGATATAGATTATGGAGAGGAAAACCAAACTTAAGACTCCCATATGTTTAAATATATAACATTACTCTGACACATTATACATGTAGTTATGAAAAGCAGATGAGATCTTACAAGCAACCCATCTTACATTTTAATTGTGCTCTGGTCACTGGACCATGATGCATATTACGACTTAAGCATATTTAAGAATTCAAAATTTTAATCAATGTATTATTAACTCTGAACTGAAACTCAAAATCTGCAGCTACATGTAGCAAGCTAGCAAATTCTAGTATTATGCTTTGAATAGCATTTAATGATATATGTTGAACTTTTTTCTGGCAATGTACAAATTTTGATGCCAAAAGTTTTCCTATTTGTAAGACATGGGTGCTCACTGGGATGAAAATAGATTGTTCTACTTTCCACCTATGTCTACAATGTTCACATAATACAATATTTTGTTTCATTGCTTACATGTAAAGTTTGAGACAATCATTTAGATTTTGCGTGATGGAACATATTCTGTAGTCTGAGGAAGTCAGTGTTGCCCTCTGATGGTAATTTTAATTTTATAATGTACTGATGATGAATGTATAACTTATCAAATCTATTCATAGTAATGTGTTGATTGTATGCCAAAGTCCTTGAAACTTTGATTAAAAAAAATGAAAAGCTTGTTTGTCTTACTAGTATTTATGACCACTGTACCATTCTCTTGTAAGGAATACAGTTATACACTTCTACAGTATGTGCATACTAACAAGTGAAGGGGGGAAAAAGTGTGTAGTAGTAGTTCTGTCATCTCAGAAAAAAAAATTTCCAGGATATGTAGATGGATTTTGGTTTTGATTGTCTTCTGTGGACAACACACACACACATTCCTCAACAAACTTCTGATAAATTGCATAACATTGTCACTGTGACTTACTTTTGGGTTGACATATCTCAAGGCCCAAAGCAGTGTTTGAAACTTGCCATAAAATTAGCAAAACATATGCAGGGCTGATTGCTAATGAAAGTTGTCAGCCCTGCCGAAGATCTAATCGCCCAAAAAATTTTCAAAAAATATCTTTAATACATATATATAAAACATTTGTTTGCAGCTGGGAAGCGCCAAGTTGTCGAAAAGACGTATATGCTCTTCTAAAGTGATAAGTTCAATTGAAACTTCTTGGACCTTTCCTGCAAAGCTCATAAAAACAACTCCAATTTTTAACATTAGTTAAAATTTCGTACAAAGTGGAGTCACTTCTCGTCAATATTTGGCTAGACAGAATAGATGGTCTCTTCTGTAGTATATGTTGTATCTTTGCATTTAAAGAAGTTTTGGTCCAGGTTATACGAATAAGACCTTTTCCATGTTGACTTCAAGGGGATTGTCATGGAGGTTGTTTCTCTGATTGTCAGAAAGGCCGAGAAATCACAATTGTGACAAGTTCTGCCACTTGGCTAAATTATTACGCCTTGGTACTGGTACAATTAATCTGAGACAGATTTATCAATGTAAGGATAAGACCATAGAAATTGAAGCCCCGTGTCACACATAAAGATCCCTCAGATTATAAAATTATAATAAGCCATAAAATTTATAAAGTAGGTCACTTCCACCTACGTTTTAGTTGATGCACCCTAATCTCGGTGGAGATTCGGCTGGGCTAGATATTTGGTCTGACGCCCACCGGTGGGCGTCGGACCAAATATCTAGCCCAGCCGAATCTCCACCGAGATTAGATGCACCCTGAAGCCCCAAGATGTATCAATGTTCAAAGTTTGATGATTCTAAGCCTCGTAGTCTACTAATTATTTTAATTATTTACATTAAAATAGCCCAAAAATACAGAAAGTCGGTCACTGTGACCTACTTTTAGGTTGACACACTTTTAGGCCACAAAATGCATCAACTGACAGTCTGATGATCCTAAGCTTCACAGTATCCTAAAACAATTTGAAAAGCTGCGAAAGTCAAAGTTGTTCACTGTGACCTACTTTAGGTCAACATATCCCATGGTCATTAGATGCAACAACTTACAAGACTGGATGATCCTAGTGCTCATAGTAGACAAAATATCAATGTTTCACCAAAATATTTTAGATCAATTTTGAAGTGACCTTGAGACCACCCCCTTTGACCTAAAGTGCTGCCTTGTACAATTTTTAATCTAAAATATATCTTTATATATAAGTTTGTTAACAATCTGCCCAGTGATTCTTGAGTAGATTTTTTAGCAACCACTACTTTATTTTACATTTCCCAAATTACCCCCCCCCCCTTGTTTGAGGGTCTCGTCCCTATTTTTGGTATGAATGAAAGCCCTTGGCCCAAATTTACAGTGGCCTTTGGCTCAGAAGTACAAAAGCCTATTAGGATCAAACTACGGTAAAAAAAAATCTACAACAGGACCATGGGCTACATAGCTTACCTGAGCATATTGGCTAGGAAAAAGCATAAATCACTTCAGTATTGAAAAGTTTAAAGGGGGGGGGGGGGGGGGGGGCTAGGATTTTGAACTACCTGAGGATGCTGTCATATCAATATAACAAATAGCTTTGCTGTTCTTGAGAAGAAGATTTTAAAGATTTTTTTCCCTATATATTCCATTGTTAAAAATTTGATCCCCCATTGTGGACCCTTCCTACCCCCCCCCCCCCCCCCCCATCATTTGAACAAACGTGAATCTACACTACCTGAGGATGCTTCCATATCAATATGACTTAACAAGGCTTTGCTGTTCTTGAGAAGAAGATTTTTCAAGTTTTTTTTCTGTATACTTCTATGTAAAACTTTGATCGCCCATTGTGGCCCCACCCTACCCCCAGGGGTCATGATTTTATACAAACTTGAATCTGCACTACCTGAGGATGAATCCACATCAATATGAGTAATTGTGACTATGTTGTTCTTGAGAAGATTTTTCAAGATTTTTTTTCTATATATTTCTATGTAAAACTTTGATCCCCCATTGTGGCCCCACCCTACCCCTGGGAGTCATGATTTGTACAAACTTAAATCTACACTACCTGAGGATGATTCCATATCAATATGACTCATTTTGGCTTTGTTGTTCTTGAGAAGATTTTTCAAGATTTTTTTATATAAATTCCTATGTAAAACTTTGATCTCCCATTGTGGCCCCATTCTACCCCCAGGGGTCATGATTTGTACAAACTTGAATCTACACTACCTGAGGATGATTCCATATCAATATGACTCATTGTGGCTTTGTTGTTTTTGAGAAAAACAATTTCAAGATTTTTTACCTACATATTTCTATGTAAAACTTTGATCCCCCATTGTGCCCACCCTACCCCGGGGGTCATGATTTGAACAAACTTGAATCTGCACTACCTGAGGATGATTCCATATCAATATGACTAATTACTGTAGATTCCTTATTTTACGCGAGTACTTAATATCGCGAAATGGCCGAAGGACGTCAAATCACGAGAACAATAATTCGCGAATGGGTGATTTATCTCGAGATTTTGCATACATTAAAGCACCATAAAAATAAAAGCGAGTATTTTTATTTCACGAGTGGTGCTTCTCGCGTAATTACGCGATAATTTATTCCTCGTGTATATTTAGGAATCTACAGTAGGGCTTTGTTGTTCTTGAGAAGAAGATTTTTAAAGATTTTTTTCTATATATTCCTATGTAAAACTTTGATCCCCCATTGTGGCCCCACCCTACCCCGGGGGTCATGATTTGAACAAACTTGAATCTACACTATGTAATGAAGGTTTCACATAAGTTTCAACTTTTACAGACCCATGGTTCTTGAGAAGAAGATTTTTAAAACATACCACCAAATTTTCACTAATTCTTAATTATCTCCCCTTGAAAGAGGGTGTGGCCCTTCATTTGAACAAACTTGAATCCCCTTTACCCAAGGATGTTTTGTGGCAAGTTTGGTTGAAATTGGCCCAGTGGTTCTGGAGAAGAAGTCGAAAATGTGAAAAGTTTACAGACAGACGGACGACGGACAAAATGTGATCAGAAAAGCTCACTTGAGCCTTCGGCTCAGGTGAGCTAAAAAGGCACTATAACGCCTTTTCAAAAGGCGTTATGACGCGAAAAAAGGCGTAATAACACCTTTTGGAAAGGTGTTATAACGCAGAAAAGGGCGTAATAATGCAAATAAAGGCGTAATTACGCCTTTCCAGAAGGCATTATAACGCGAAAAAAGGCGTTATTACGCCTTTTGGAAAGGCGTTATTACGCCTTTGAAAAAGGCGTTATTACGCCTTTCCAAAAGGCGTTATTACGTCTTTCCAAAAGGCGTTATTACGCCTTTTTAAAAGGCGTTATTATGCCTTTTTAGAGGGCATTATTTCGCCTTTCTAAAAGGCATTAATACACTTTTCAAAAAGACGTTATAATGCTTTTTGAAGGGCCATTATGTCTTTGACAGGCCCGTGCTTTTGAAGTGGGGGGGGGGGCAGCCTCCCATAAAATTGACAAGCAAACAAAGACCCCCCCCCCCCCCCCCCCCCCCCCCCCCCCCCGAAAAAAATAAACTGCCTAAACTTGAGGGGAATGTTTTTCCAACTCTTCGGTAAAACTTTTTTAAATGCAATGACTTGCCCGAGTTTAACCATACTGCAACAAAATGTTAAGGGACCAAGCAATCAATAAATGACTTTTTATATTTAAACTTTAGCAAGACTATTCTCCCAAAAAGTGGGGTGGGGGAGCCCCCCCCCCCATTCGTACTACCGGTCTGTTTGAAAAGGAGTTTTATCCAAAAATGGAAAGGCGTTATTTTAAAATAATAAATATATGAAAGATTGAACCAAAGCCATATTTATTTATGCAATATTTAGATTATAGTTTTAATATTATAACTTATATTATAAATCATAGTATTTTCTATATTCCTGCACATCTCGCAGACAGCTGTTTGCATTTTGCATGCACATTAAGACAAGTCAACACTCTAGTTTTGAAAATCCAGGATATAGGCAAAGCCAGCTTTGGGCTTTGCTAGCCACGTATTAAAATTTCATGTCAAATTTGAAATATTTTTCTCTCTCTTCTTGGGAAAAAAACAGGCAAACTATTTGCATAGGTATAATGAGCAATTAGCCTTCAACCAAATTTCTGAAATCCATGCACCTTGGTAGAGGCGTCTGGCATCAGAGAAGGACTAAGTTGGTTTAACACTGAAAATATTTTACACATTTAAAAATCTTTTTTCCTGGAAATCTATTTATAATCAGCCCCCAGGGTGGGCTAAGTAAGTCATGTATTGAAAAAAAGAGACATAATAACGCCTTTTGGAAAGGCGTAATAACGCCTTTTGGAAAGGCGTAATAACGCCTTTTGGAAAGGCGAAATAACACCTTTTTAAAAGGCGTAATAACGCCTTTTAAGAGGCGTATTAACGCCTTTTGGAAAGGCATAATAACGCCTTTTGGAGAGGCGTAATAACGCCTTTTGGAGAGGCGTAATAACGCCTTTTGAAGAGGCGTAATAACGCCTTTTGGAGAGGCGTAATAACGCCTTTTGGAAAGGCGTAATAACGCCTTTTTTCGTGTTATAATGCCTTTTGAAAAGGCGTTATAACGCCTTTTAAATTTTTTTTACCGTAGTTTGATTCTTATAGGCTTTCATACAGAAGAGCTAATTAAAACAATAAAATAAAAAAAAAATCATTGGTAATCTTTCCGGATACATATATTTCATATCATATTAATTTTTGCTTATCCCAGTATAATAACAACAGATAAGTAACACAATATATAGAATATTGTCAAGTAATTTCAAAATAATATAAAAAGTAATGAAGTACTGCATATTCTGGGTAATTATAAATTTGTCTGTCTAAATAGGTAAATAAGCTCTTGAAGGAGTGTTTTTATGAAATGTATCATATTGGTGCATGCTCATGATGCAGTAGCCATTCCTTGATTTTGTTCTTCTGCCCTCCGTGGTAATTACCAAGTTTACCTCCGGTCTGAATTACCCTGTGACATGGCATGATGAGGGAGATTTGGTTGTTCTTCATTGCTAGTCCCACAGCTCGACAGGCACGGGGATTACCACACATCATGGCTAAAGCACCATAGGAAATCACTTGCCCAAATGCTACTTTACTCTGAAGGGTTTTCCAGACAGTCTCTGTGAATGTTCCTGTTATCATAATGATAGCAGCTTGGGTAACATTATATTAATACATATTATAATATAAAAAAAGAATTCTCAGAGTCTGTTATCTCACCTGTCTGGTACACAGAGGCACAAGCTGGGGGAACTGAAGTCAAGTTAGAAGTGTCTCCTGCAAAGTAGTGTTGTAACCATTGCACACAGAGAACAGCAGGTTTGTATGTGTATCCATTATCCTGGTACATCTGGGATTTCACTGTCACAGTTGTACTAAAAAAAACAAGAAGCCCATGGACCACACTGATCACCTAAGCACAATGGCTAAGAAGCAGACCTAAGTTCAGTATTGAATTGGGGGGGGGGGGGGACTTAAATTTACACTACCTCAGGATGCTTCCATATCAATATTAATTTTAAAGATTTTTTTTCCCTATGTATTCCTATGTAAAACTCTGATAACTCATTGAGGCCCCATCCTACCCACCCTAAATTTGAACAAATTTGAATCTACACTACCTGAGGATGCTTCTATAATAATATGACTAATCATGGCTTTGCTGTTCTTGAGCAGAAGATTTTTTCAACATGATTCCTATATATTCTTTGTGAGGTAGTGTAGATTCAAGTTTGTGCAAAACTTTGACCCTTTCTTGTGCCCCCAACTCCTGAGGGTCATAATTTGAACAAACTTGATTCTACAATACCTAAGGTTGCTTCTGTATAAATATGACTAATAATGGCTTAGTTATTCTTGAGAAGAAGATTTTTTAAGATATTTCCTATTTATTCCAATGGTATACTTTGACCCCCTTTTGTTGCCCTGCCCTACCCCCAGGGATCATGACTGAAACAAACTTGAATCTACACTACCTGAGGATACTTCTGTTATAATATGACTAATCATGGCTTTGCTGTTTTTATCTAGAAGACTTTTTAAAGACATTTCCTAAATATTCCACTATGTAAAATTTCTACCCCCTCTTGTGGCCCTGCCCTACTACTGGGGGTCATGATATGAACAAACTTGAATCAAGAGTATGTAATGAAGCTTTCACATAAGTTTCATCTTTTCTTGCCCAGTGGTTCTTGAGAAGAAGGTTTTTAAAAGATGCCACCAAATTTTCATGAATTCTGCATGGCACTTCAGTGGCGGATCCAGAAGTCCACGTGGGGGGGGGGGGGGGTTTGAGGCCCGTAGGGCCGAAGGGGGAGGGCATGGGAGGGGGTGCCCCCCTCCCATAGGTGGGGGTTCGGGGGGCCTCCCCCGAGAAATTTTCTTTAAAAATGGCTCCAAATGGTGCATTTTCCAGCATTTTAGATTGAATTAGTTTTTGGCCACTTTTTTCCTAGTTGTTTTTCAAGACCGACCTACCCACATTTTCAAGAAATTGAACAAAAAATTAAAATTTTGGGATTATTTTTAACTTCCATGTTAACTTGAAAAATGAGACTTTTCTAAAGAAAAAGTTAAATGTAAAATCTGATAAAATTAGAAATATCGCCATTTGCTATATAATATCCAATTCTTCATTTTAAAATGCACGTCCAACACACTGTTGCATGTGAAGCTTTGTCTACCAAAATACAACTGCATGATGTGCAATTTTCCAACACTTAGAACATTCGAATTCTGTGTAGAGACCCTAATTACTCTTTTCAACTACTTGACTATACAGTTCATATAATTTGCAATATATACACAAAATGATATTTCATATTGAAGAATAAATATAAATTATTTTGGAAAATAATTGGAATTATTGCTTATTCATTGGGGGGGGGGGGGGGGGTTAATTATAATTTCTAACATAAATGCACTCTTTAATTCTTTTTTTTTTACCCACTTACCTGTCCAATGTTTGAAAAAAAAGTCTTGAAAAACAATCAATAAAAAAGTGGCCAATTCTTGTTTTGACAGGACCTCTAATTTATACGTATTAGTTTTACCACAATTCATTATACAAAGTTGTTTTATTCAACATCATTCAACTGTAATTTTAAAAAAGAATGCAGATCTTTTGCTTTTTAAAATTGCATTGTAACTTCCATCTACAAAAGGAATACTTTCAATGTGCTTTTTGGTACATCGTTTATTTGTTCTTCCATCATTCTAATAAAAATTTTCTTTCAACGGCAAAGTATATCCATACATGTTGCTTATACTGTAGGACATCATAATTAATACAGGGTGAATCTTACATTTCATGTAATTTGGCTAACCTTTGATTTCATGATTTGATTACAGGTCACAACGTAAACAACTAGTATGCGTCCCTGATGTATTAATTAATTTTTTTTCTATTAAATAATAATCACAGTTTATTCACGTAGTTCAATAAAGTAACATTCAATTATCGAAGAAAGAAGAAAATTCTCGAAACAATATTACTTTAGCCAAACAAAACCGTAATAACTATGTGCAGTTTTGGTTGTATGACGTTGCGTCATCACTAGCTGCACGGACTATCATGATCTCTGCATGTACAGTACTGTTGATTACCTGTATATTGTGTGCGCTCAAGCGGAAAGGGATTTCGCATGGTGACTGTATATTTCACCTCTATGTGTAAAACAATGGGCTTGGATAGAGTTGCATTTATGCAATATATTGTTAAAATGACACTTGTAAAAAAAATTTTTTTGATCGGGCGGGGGGTTTTTCCCGAACCCCCCCAAACCCCCCTGAATCCGCCACTGCACTTCTGTGAACAAACTGAAATCCCCTTCATCCAAGAATGCTCCATGGCAAGTTTGTTTGAAATTGGCCCAGTGGTTCTTGAGAAGAAGTCGAAAATGCAAAAATTTTACAGACACCAGATAACAGACGCCAGACACTCTTTGATCAGAAAAGCTCACTTGAGCCTTTGGCTCAGGTGAGCTAAAATCAGAGGTAATCAAAGATTATGAAGCTCAACTCAGCAAATTTAATCTACAAGTAAGGAAAAGCCTTACCCTAAATGAATGGTAGTATTAGGGGTGTAACAATTTACTGGTATACAAATTGTGCCATATCACAGTCCAAAAAATATACACCTTTTTATCATGATGTATAAAACTTTAAGTTATTTGTTTTAGTTGAGCTTATAAAGCTGATATTCTTTACTTACTTGTGCTGCTTATTATTGTGTTTCAGAACTTATTAGATTTTTATGCCCCCGTAATCGAAGATTCGGGGGCATAGAGTTTTTGCCCTATCCGTCTGTCTGTCTGTTTGTCCATAAAAACTTTAACCTTGCCCTTAACTTTTGACTGGTTGGAGCTATGACTTTCATATTTCACATGTATATTCCTTGTGACAAGACCTTTCTTTGGGTACCATCATATTTGACCTTTTGACCTTGGAGTTTGACTTACTTTTGCAAAATTTTATGAGACTTTAACCTTGGCCATAACTTTTGAACAGTTAATGCTTGGGCTTTCAAACTTCACATGTGTATTCCTTGTGACAACACCTTCCTTTGGATACCAACAACTCTGACCTTTTGACCTTGAAGTTTGACCTACTTTTGAAAAACTTTAACCTTGGCCATAACTTTTGAACAGTTGGTGCTAGGGATTTCATATTTAAAATGTCTATTCCTTGTGACAAGACCTTCCTTTGGATACCAACCACTTTGACCCTTTGACCTTGACCTAGGAGTTTGACCTACTTTCGAAAAACTTTAACCTTGGCGATAACTTTTGAATGGTTGGTGCTAGGGCTTTCATACTTCACATAAGTAATCCTTGTGACAAGACCTTCTTTTGATCCTTTGACCTTGGAGTTTGATCTCCTTTTGAAAAACTTTAATCTTGGCAATACCTTTTAAACATTTGGTGCAACGGCTTTCATACTTCACATGTGCATTCCTTTGGACAAGACTGGATACAAAACATTTTGGCACTGACCTTGACCTTGGAGTTTGACCTACTTTTAAAAAAAAACTTTAACCTTGGCCATAACATGTGAACATTTGGTTCTAGGGCTTTCACATTTCAGGAACATGTGTATCACTCACAAGACTTTCCCTTGGGGCCTCATTTGACCTTGACAGGTATATTCCTTGAGACAAGACTTTTCTTTGGGTACCACCATTTTTGATCTCTTGACCTCTTGGAGTTTGACTTGCATTTAAGAAACTTTAACCTTCGCCATAAGCTCCCATACAGGGGCATCAGTGTTTCACAAACACATCTTGTTTTTTTTTTTAATTTTGTTCATTTTTAGCTCACCTGAGCTGAAGGCTTAAGTGAGCTTTTCTGATCAAAATTTGTCTGTTGTCTGTCATTGTTGGCTTGTCATAAACTTTTCACATTTTCATCTTCTTCTCAAGAACCACTAGGTTGAACAAACTTGAATTCCCTGCTTACATACAAACACACCCAATGTGCTCCAGGTTGATCTTGAGGATCTGTTTTGACTACAATGGCTTTTTCTCCGAATTTTAATTGATCTGGTTCACCCAAGGATGCTTTGTAGCAAGTTCAGTTGAAATTGGCCCAGTGGTTCTGGAGAAGAAGTCAAAAATGTGAAAAGTTTACAGACGAATGGACAGATAGACGGATGCCAGACAAAATGTGATCAGAAAAGACCACTCGCCCAAATGGGATATAATAGTCTGTTTGGGATATAATATTCCAAATGGGATATAAATTTACAGTGCAAAAAATGAAAAATTTTATTTTGGCAATAAATATCATAAATCCGCATCAAAATACTTATTAAAAAGGAATAATTTTTGGTGAGGAAGTTTTTCTACAACCCTACAGTTTGTTAGATTGATCAGCAAGAAGTTAAAGAACTTCTACTAAACAATAACTTGTTAACCAAAAGTTATTCCTTTATAATTATCTTGATGGGGATTTATGATATTTATAGCCAAAATAAAAATTTTCATTTTTTGCACTGTAAATTTATACCCCAATACGTTTGATTTCCATTAATGAACTCTTCAAAATTAGAGGCGCGTTTGGTCGTCTGACTGGGATGGCATGGCGTTGCGGATAACACAAAACACGCCAATCTCAATCCAATTTTAAATGTTAAATGTATTTGTCATTCCAGTTAAAGAACAGAGGAACTAAAATACATATGTAAGAGAGCCAGAACCCTAAATTTATCATCCATTAATAAACAAGACGACATTTCCGAGGCATGTGTATTGTATTAGATGTATCATACGTTAAATAGATACATACGATCAACAATAGATATAAATTGATATCGTTGTCATACCTACTCTTGATGTATATAAAGTCCACAACAATAAAATATTTCATTTGCATTTTGTTAGGATTTGTTCATTGACATTCAACATATTGTTTACATGTTTATGTTACGTTTGTCCCAGAAATCCCGCGAGAATTGTACATTTTCCGACTTTTTCACAAAAGAGCGCACTAAGAAGTATAACTCTTCCATAGTGGAAATAGAACGTATTAATTGGGATATTATATTCTCAGCGGGCTATTATATCCCAAATGGGCAAGTGGTCCCAACCTGATAAAGCAATAATTTGAAGCATTTCAAAATTACCCAGGACGTGGTGAAAAATTCTTGTCATTTGGTGCCATTTGTTGTAGTGAATGGAGTCCTCTTGGACAACTGATTATTTCCATATCACCAATAGGTGTACTCACAATGTATGTGTTAGTGGGGCCTGATTGACAAACTTGTTTTCCCTTCATCTAAGACAAAAAATGTACAAGCAATGTCAGACATATCATGCTGAATATTATCTAGACAATAAAATATATACAATGTATATTGGTTTTCTCAGAAGTAATCTTTGATCTATTCTGTAATTTACTTACTATTGATCTTTTGCACTTATGAATGACGTAAAACAAAAGAAAAGTGAAAGGAAAGTACTCAGATTTTGATTTAGCGCGATATTTAATGATTAAATCGTACTTTTAATCATTCGTTAGAGAAAATGCGTTTTTATCGAAATGATTCTTGGTTGACCTATTGAGTAAATAAAAATGGCGATCGAAAAACGAAAAAGAAAAACAGAAGGTTATTTTCAACAAATACCTGTTGATCTAGTAAAGTATTTGTGATAATGGACATAAATCTTAATTCTGCATATCAAAAAACATCATCTGAAAACAGTTTAGCGGACAAAGAAGAAACAAAAATAGAAAAACAACCAACAACACTGACTGAGCATCATCGGGAAGTGAGTCAAAGTTTATATTTTTCGTCAAATGTCAAAACAGTAAACCCTGTGGAAGCAATAGCTGACGGTCCAATAAAATCAAATTCTCTACCCAAACGAAAGAAGAGGTCACGACCATCTTTTAAATTGGTCATCAATCTTATGAGTCGTTTTAAAACTTCTTCAAGTGTTGAAAAAAATTGTGTGGAGACCGGGGGTCCAAAAGGGGGATGGACTCCTTCACTGCCACGGAAAAGTGGACAGTCTAGTGGTAAACAGGCCAAAGATTTGTCTTCATCTCCACTGATGACTCGATCGTTTAACAGTTTGTGGAACGTTGTTCCGGGTACCGTTGGTATCCCAAATCATGGGAACACTTGCTTTATGAATGCTGTGATACAATGTTTGAGCAACACGGATTGGTTCACCAAGTACTTCATTTTAAAACAGTTCAAAGATGATATGAAAAGCAAATCCTTTTCAAAAAAGTTTAGCAGTCAGAAGAGTGATGTAACAGAACAATTAGGAAAATTACTAGAAAGTCTGTGGAGTAATAATTCAAATGTTGTAACAGAAGTCTCAAATGGATTTAAAAGTGTTGTAGGGAAGAACAACAGTCAGTACAAAGGATCAGAGCAGCACGATTCTCAGGAGTTCTTTCTGTGGCTTCTTGATCGTCTTAATGAGGACATTTTCACAAGCTACAAGAAAAAAGAAAAGACAAAACGGGTATTTTTTTTAATAAACATCATTGTAACAGAAGAAAGCTGCACATTGATTATGGAACATGAAATTGGTTTATTTATGTTGATACATTTCATCAAATGCTTAGTTTTTGAAATATTAAAACTATAGTACATGAATTTATTTAACAGAGATGGATTTTTATGTGGATGAAGAATATTATAATCGCACATTTATCTATTCCAAAATTATGAAATGAAACCAACTCTGATCAATATAAATGAACACAAATAAATTAACTTTCATTTAAATTAAATAGTCATGAAGTGAAAAAATTATTTAAAAAAAAAAAAAAATACTATCTTCGTGCACAAGAAATTGTCCCAAGACACAGTTAGATTATTTTAACTAAAGAAAATCTGACCCTGTCAGTGTTCTAGCATTCAGAATGCTGCTCATTTTTAATCTTTTCCTTCATCTTTCTTTTTAAGACTTTTTCTTCTTGTAACAGAAAAAAAAAAGTCAACTGGCATTGAAAATTGTTTAAATGTGATTATTTGTTTGTATTGTCAAAACATGCCGAAAAGTAGTCTGATTGAAAATGCGGTTTGTCTAAAAAGTACTATGCTTCCTCACAATGTAACAAAAACATATCAGATGGGAGGTTTTATAATTATTGATTAGAATTAAAATGATAAGAATTAGACTGGACAAAAAAATGCTTCCCAATTTCAATTACAACAACTAAACTTTGTGCTATTCAAAATGGGCATTAACTTTTCAACCAGCAAAAAGATAAAGTATCCAACAATTATTTTATATCTTCATAATCAAGAATAATTTCTGTGACAGAATGTATTTGTTGTAATTTTGTTTAAGTACAAGTCATAAGTTATAAATATATTTGATGCCTTCCAGTTAAGTACCTCAGACATCTCTGATGAGGCAGCAGCTAAGGAGGTATTACAGCAGAACAGTGGCTGTGTCCCGTACAATCTATTCCAAGCTCTGTATCGCTCTTCACTTAAATGTCCAAAATGTCAGAAGCTGAGCAATACATTTGAATCCTATCTGTGTCTCTCCTTGCCATTGCCTGTGCGCACTACGAGGCCAGTTTATGTGATCTATGTCTCTAGGGAGGTGGAACCAATGCAGATCAAGATTGGGTTGACACTGAATGTCCATGACACAGTTCGGGAACTAAGAGAGGCAACTGCTGCATACATGGAAATTTCTCCATCCAGGGTAAAACAATTTAATTAGAAATGTTCTTCCATGACATAATCTAGTGCTTATGAAAGAAAATTATATTCAGTAGCAATGATTATTATAGTTTATAGTTTGAAGGGCTTGATTTCTTTAGTTACAGGTACAAAATATATTTTTTGAATAATATAACCACTGGTACATAGCTTTAGTTTTATGATTAGTTCAGGTATTCCAACTGAATTTTATTTTTATTAGATTGTGTTGTGTCAGATATTTGAGGATGGGATCCAGAATCGTTACTGTGATGACCAGCCCTTGACTGACATATCAGAGGTGGAGTCGGTTTACGCTATAGAAACACTAGCACCTCCCGGTCAGGGCAGCAGTAATCCCGAAGAGTTTGAGTCTTCCTACACTCAGCTGATTGTTATAAACACAGAGAAAAGATCCTCACCAACCAGATAGTAATGTCATTTAACTGCCTACTACATAATTAATGTATCTGGTAATCAATGAATCAATATCAATCTGTGTTTTGAAACATATACCCTGGTAGCTTACAGTGTGTTCACACAGGCCTTCAGACAAATTGACCTTTTCAATTGTTAAAAATGCCCCTTAGAAATCAAAATTTTAAAAATAAATGTAATGTTTGCAAAGATTTTTTTTTCAAACACCTCATCCCTAGCCTGTTACAACTGATATATAATCCTTTACTTTGAAATAAAGGGAAAACACTGAGCTTATAGTGGTAGATTGTATGTTTTTCAGTGCAAGGTTTTGTGCTCCAGTCATTCTGTGTGTTCCTAGAGATATAGACTTTAGAAGTTTGCAGAAGAAAATTCTAACTGTGATGGGAGAGTGCATAAAAGAGGGACTTTTGACACAGGTGATGTACTACATTTTTAAAACACGTGCAATACCCTGCACACTATATCATATGTAGTGTTCAGGGTATTGCAAGTGTTTTAAAAATGTTTATGATAGTCACTGTTTAGAAAAGAATATTTTAAGGTTCAATGGATTATACAATGAATGTGTGTATGTTTGTGTATGTATTTATTAAACAAATTCTAGAAGTGAATATAAACAAAAACACAAAAGTTCAATGAAAACTTACTTTACAGAAGTTGGATGTGCTGTTCAGACTGCGGCTTGTTGATGAATTTTCAGGAAAGCGATACTATTTACAAGATGATGAAGAAATTATGCCTCTCTATACACAAGCAGTGGATAGGTACAGTTTTATATACTGTAATTAAATGATTAAGAAATAAGTTTGTAAACATTTTTATATTTGCTTAATTCTATTGTTTTGTTTGTTTGTTGACAAATGATTTAAATAACTATTTATTCTGTTTCATCATTAGTGCTTTGACTTATGGAGCTGAATATGGTCCTCAGCATATAGAGCTTGTGGCCGAGTGGGACCATGCTATCAAAGAGAGGTAACAAACTCTTAATAGCTACAACTAACTGATCACTGTGAAATCACTAATTTGCTTGGGGTGGGGTGGGGGGGGGGGGGTTAATTTTCAATGTTTTTAAGGTATTAAGAAACCCATGAATTCATGTCCACTGAGAAATGTAAAATGTCATATACAAAACTACTTGACAATTCTTCAGCCATGAAATCAAATCCCCACAAACCCATAGTTCTTCCTCAAACCGTGAAAATTTGACCCCACAAAAATGTGTGATTTTACAGTATATTGATGGTTGTTTAAAAAACTGTATGTTGTTAATTTGGTTTCCATATTTATTACATGAGGCATCATAAAAAGACAGAAAATTTAAATTTAGCTGTGATTTTGTTGTTGTTGTTAAAAATATATCCTTTTGATTTTGTTTATGAAGAGTGATAATCAAAGACAATGATGTGCTGCATGAAGAACCGAGTGTGAAGAGAGTACGGATGTCACAGCAGCAGCCATTGAAAGTCTCTCTAGATGAATGCTTCCAAATCTTCACCAAAGATGAAAAGGTAAAAATAGAGATCCACAGTTTGTTGATATTGACCATCGAATGGTGTATCTCAATTACTGTAGAAGTATTTGATTTTGTTTTGGATTAAATTTTGTTATTTTTTTTTGTCTGGAAGAGAATAACATATCCAGTATGAATTATTGTATTTCAGAAACTGATTGTCTTAAGTCAGAAATATACATGTATATTTCTGTTATCCGTAATGCATTTTTAAACAACACACTTTACTGGTACCATTACACATAAAGTCAGAAATATACACTTGTCTACCAACAGGATGGTTGTTAATGTGGTTGAATGCCTAACATAAGCTACGGAAATACACATGACATGTATAGCCAAAAACATCACAGTTTTTCACACAAAACCTGCTGGATTAAATGTAGAAATCCTAATTCCTGTTGTACACACAATGATTATATCCTGAATTACACTGTCAATCAATAGACCACTGATAGGATTGAACATGACATCTGAAAACTTGATTTTAAGTTGTAGAATACATTACAATTCTCTGCTCAAATAATTTAGTACGTGTTTGCTTGATAATGCAAGAATTTATGTTGGCTTTAGAAGCATTAAATTTACGCCACTTATTTGACTACTGTCATCTTTTTTTTTTGAGATAAACAGGTTGTGATCAATGATATTTACTGGAACAAGAAAATTGGGTTTTGAAAAACAAGACTTGTGTTAAGCAATTTAATGGAACCCAAACTAAATTAAGCTCACACTGTGGATTTGTTTGTAAATGGTTGTTAACGTGCATCATTAAACAACTAGTAAATGGCAGATCAATTTTAATGGTATAAGGACTAAGAGATAGGCAGTATTATCTACACATTGTATGCAAAATCTGAAGAGGTTTTTTTTTTTTTTTTTTTTTTTTTTTGGAAGTGATGAAAATCAATGAAAATTAATCCACAATGATCCCCCCCCCCCAAATTAAATATGCTTACAGTATATTTACACTTGCAGGGATCTGCATATTAATTGAGCAGAATTTGTAGTATAGATACATTTTTTACCAGAAAAAAAAATACAGTGTATGTACATATTGAGAATGTATGGGCTGCATCTTTAGATTAGAGGTGATTTGCTCAATGTTATCATGCTTATATGATGATCAATGTTTTTTTTCTGACAGTTAAGTGGAGATGATGCCTGGGAATGTCCACACTGCCATAAACAGCAGAAAAATGCCACAAAAACAATTGGTCTGTGGTCACTTCCAGATGTACTGGTCATCCATCTCAAGCGCTTCAGACAGGTAAACTCGGACTCATACATGCACATTACTGTATTTAGTTTTGTAGCGAGTCAGCAATGTCTCAACTAAATGTACAATGTATATGTTTCATCCTTACATTTCACTTTTAAAATAGGTATTTTAAAAAAATGAATTTCCTTTGATTGTAAAAGAAAATATATATATATATATATATATATATATATATATATATATATATATATATATATATATATATATATATATATATATATATATATAGTCTCAAAGACTCTCGTAGGACTTGCATTTGAGGTAGAAATAAATGTAAATGCTTGAAGGGGGCTTCAGTTTGTAAGATTTTCTTATACTGTTGGGATGTAGGTGGGACTACGTAGAAGTAAGCTGAGTACTTTGGTGGATTTTCCTGTGAGAGAGCTTGACATGGCCTCACATGTTGTAAAGCGACCACACACCAATGCTGATGACACAGAAATGATATACGAACTTGAGGGTGTATTAAATCACTATGGCAACATGCAAGGTGGTCACTACACAGGTAGGTAAAACCTTCTAATAGATAAAAAGTATATTTTCAGAAAAACCATTGTTGATTTAAAAAAAAAACAACTTTACATAAAAATCTTGTATTTATGAAATATTGCAGCATTTTGTAAGAACCCAGTGGATAGCAGGTGGTATGAGTTTGACGACTCTAAAGTGAAGCCCATGGCCGAGGCTGAGGTAAAGACCTCATCTGCTTACCTGTTGTTTTATCAAAGGAAGGGTGTGATGGATTCAGTGAGAGAGGACCTTGAATCTGGATATCACTGGATCTACAAATTGTACCCCAATGCCTATAAAAATGTAGCCAAAAATTTGAACAGGAATGAAAGTAACCCACAGCCTCGGTATACAGAAAATATTATGGATCAAGATATTCCACACTCAATGAATTGTCCAGATCCTATTCCACTCATGACAGCAAATGATCCACCAAAACGTGTTCAAAACTCTCCAACTAAAGTAAAAGATAATTCTCTCCAAAAATCTGACTCTGAGCCAAGCATATGTAAAAATGAAGTCAAGCATGCCAAGACAAACTCAGATATTGTACCAGAAACTGTTCCTGACATAGCATGGAGAAATAAAGATGTTGACAGTACTGATCTTGTGAAGCCAAGTCAGCTGAGAAATCTTTTGAAAAAGGGTCAGGATGTGCAAAGGGAGACCAGTCAAATAGCAAAGGGTGACATAAATAACAGAAAACCGTATGATCATACCAAATATGCAGAAATAGGCAGAGACCACCACTCTCCAGAGAAGCAGGCAATGCCACCAAAGAATGAAAATAGTGAAAAGAAGCACTCCAGTGGAAGTGGGCTCACTGTTAAGCTACCAGAAAAGGAGGTGTTTATTGTCAGACAGAATCACAAAACTGGACAGACAACTGTGGAATCTTTCAGTAAACATCTTTCTCAGGTAGAAACTCTGAAAAAACAATTGATCAATTCTGGTCCTCAGAGCAATGGGAACCATCCAAGTAAACTGGATTCTCATGACACCAGTAAGAAACTAGCTGCCCTCCAAATTAGAGACAGAAGTGACCACAGAGATGAAGTTGATGTGCCAGTAGGACCAAAGTCCCTTCCTTCATCATATTCATCAAGATTGGAGACAACACAAGTAAACATGTCTAAGTCATATTATGGTCAGAGGACCCCAGAAGATCACCCCCTATCACCAATTGATTTTAACAGACAACTGTCAAATCCAACCAAAAGTGGATTTGTTGAAAAAGAGGCACCTAGAAACCCACCTGTCAAACGAAGTAAAAGTCAGACAAGGACTAGAGAACAGGAGCAAAATGCCATCAATGACCTCAGGAACCAAGGTAGGATTCATTTCATTTCACAGAATTTTTTTTCATTGTACATGATAATGATAAAATGTTGTTAAATAGAAAGAATTGCATGCGTTATCACAAGTTTTTAGTCAATTTATTATGTATGTAAGATTATGAGTAGTGAATATATTACAATATATTAAAAATCTGTTTTATTTTTAAAGTCCATGATCAGAGAAATGGTGTTAGTGTTAACAACAAATATGCTACTATAGCTAGAGTGAATCAGAGTTTCCAAGGACATAAGCACCAAGATTCAGCAGTTGTACGGTCTTCTACAGAGGGTAGTCTTGGTAACAACTCAATGGTTCCTGGTCATCAGATCACAGACAGGCAGGACTATGATGTAGGTTTACCACTGAGGCAGGAAATTTTGGAGATTAGAGATACCATTCAGAGTTCCCCACATCTCCACCAGGCTGGATCTAGAAAACCAGTTTACGATGGTGTGGTGAACACAGACTCACATTCATACACTGAAGGATTTCCTCGCTATCAACCCCACAAACATTACAGAAAAACTCCAAATAGGGAGGAACTGGAAAACCTCAAAAAGGAAAAACTGTATTCTCCATGTCTTAAAGAATCCTCTGTCTAAAGAGTTCATTTTAGAACTGTAAATTGGCACTTCTCTAGTGTGTAATCTTTGCTATTTATTTTGCTTAGCTAGAGACTTACCTCAATATTACACCATGACTAATGTGCAGTGTTTGCAAAACAACAACATTAAAAAAGGATTGTATCATCTATGTAACAGACCTCAAATTGTCATTAGGACATACTTATGACAGAAGATCTTGCATGTTATTGTTAAGCCTTTTTCTCTTCTTTCTCTTCTTGTAGGCACATTCAACATCTGAACAGCAAGTTATGATTGGAGGGACACTTTTAGCTATGACTGGATAGACACTTATGATAAAGACTGTTAGCTTTGACTGGAATAGACACTGTTAGCTATGACTGAATTATTATCTGTTAACTGTAAACTTTGACTGGATAGACTGTTATGATAAAGACTGTTAGCTTTGACTGGATAGACAGAGTTATGATAGACACTGTTATGATAAAGACTGTTAGCTTTGACTGGATAGACAGAGCTATGATAGACACTGTTATGATAAAGACTGTTAGCTTTGACTGGATAGACAGAGATATGATAGAAACTGTTAGCTATGACTGGATAGACACTGTTAGCTGTAACTGGATAGACATTGTAAGCTATAACTGAATGAACACTCTTAGTTATGATTGGATAGACACTGTTAGCTATAACTGGATAGACATTGTTAGTTATGATTAGATGAACACTGTATTGAAAATTACTGTGCAATTTAGTGTTAAATGGCTATAAAATTTTGATTACTGTAAATCACATTTTATTTACAAGAAAATTATTTGATAGTACTACTTAGAGATTGCATTGACCTGAAGATAAAATTCTTGTTATTGTGCAGAGAATATACTGATACTTAGTCTACCAAATAAATACAATCTTATTGTCAAAATAGTCAAGAGATATACAGCACCTCGAAGTTAATTAAATTCATTTTCATTTCATGAGGGCTTCTTTGAGGATTTTGCCATGTGATACAGGGTTTTAAAAACACCTTAAAGTGTGGCACCTGTATTGTAATTTAATTAATTACAGGCATTGTAACATCTTTGTTGCTTTATTTTGACTCATGCAATTGTTATAATACATGTGTTTATGTATGTATTTTTGTTTGTGTTTACTTCCATGATACAACGACACCAAGATGTAATATAGAATGTATAATCTATACGTATCAGAAAACTGTCCTACACTCAATGCATTTATATTCATTGTGATTTTGTCAAATTTTCTCTTAGAATATGCGTCTTAATGTACTAATGTGTAAATAAGTAAAAACAGTTAAAGGGGATTTTTGTGTGTGTGTTCCAAAGATCAAAAACTCATTATTTTTTCATTTTTGCATTTGAATTATAGGTTGTCTTTAGCATCTTTTAAAGGAATACATAATGCTTATAACAGATGATTGTAAATATGTAGTGTCAATTAGGGAAGACAGGAGAGAACTTTTTCCAGATAGCTTGCCACACGAAGTATTTTTTTTTTCAAACAAACAGTGGTATTGTTAAGTGTTTTACTGCTAGAAGGGAGTGCACTGAATTGATCCCTTAGATTAACAATTCATTGTGTTAAGTGCAATAATAAGTGCTTCATGGTTTGTGATGGTGAAGTGTATATGAATTATCTATTATATTAGAATGACTGGAGTTCTAGAACTCTGTATTAGTAGTAATTACGCACATTCCAGGTTGATGGTTTATGTACATATTACACATGCAAGGCATGTGAACCATGTGACATTTCATACAGCTATGAAATACTTTGAAAAATGGCATTAACACATTACTTATGATTGTATACAATTTACTCATTATTCCATTAGTTGTTTAAAGTTCTAGTTGGTGCATTATATATTTACATTTTCTTATGTCATTCCACCTGTTTAAAAATGGTTGTGTCCTTATATATACCTTGTTTTTTCTTTTACTTTTTTGTGTTATCAATTTTTTTTCATTCTTGCTTTAATGCTACATATATTTTGAGAGGAGGACTAGGAAATCTAAGTTTTCAGCAGATTGACAATTTTGTCCTGAAGGAACTGGTTCTTTCTTTACAACTAAAAATAGAATTCATTGTGGTATATTTTGTTGACACTTCTATTATATATTTCATTTTAAAATTGGTTTTTAAAATTTTAAAGAATTGAAAAAGAAAATTCATTATATTTTATTGGCATTCCATTGTACAGGTATAGTATACCAATTCACATTTTTTTTTTTGGTCATGAATTAATATTTATAATCATTCATCAACTTGGGTGTCATAAGTGGAAAAATTAGATCAAACAATGTGTTTAGATAATTATACATTTAGTGTACAATGATTCATCTGTACAGTAACACAACCTTTGTAATTATCAGTATTTCTTATATGCTCAGGATCATTTTACAGGAAACTGTTATTGGAATAGAGCAGTATGTGTAACTACTGGCTTCTCACATTTACTGTTTTTCAAACATTGTTTAAGCATATTTTTCAGTTGATTTATTTCAAGTTATAAAACATTTTGCAAAAAAGTACTTGTTAAAAGAAAAGTCAAATCCTAAATTCAAAAGAATAGAATGTTATTGACCCAAACACATATTAACATACATGTATAAACATAAATAATGCAATTTACTAGTGAACTGAACTAATATTTCAGGACAATTAATATAGAAGAGATACCTTTACTCTTGTATGCTATTTCTTACCATTGAAGGTACATGTTAAGTTACATAGTGGAGAAAAAAATGAACATTTTATCAGGAGTCAGGAGCAGGAATCAGTTGGAGAAATTATACACAGTTATAAAATAAAATGATAATATTTCACAGAACATTTATTATTATACACGTAAAGGCAGTATGCTATCTCTTTTTTCTGAAAATTTAATTTCTAAGTATACGTATGGAAACTGAAATTATTAATCTCGAATTATTCGAATTATTCTCGAATAATTTTTTGAGAGAAAGTGAAGACTTATTAAAATTGTTAACATTTGTTTTCTGACTGGTTGTACAACTTGAGCATTCCAGCTTTGTTAATTTTTATCTTTGTTTTTGTTGATGTAGCCTTTTCAGGTTCATTCATTGTAAATTTGTCATTCAGAATTTTAGTACAGTATATAACACATATACATGTATGCCAAGAAATAAACTGTACAAAAATTAATAGTCCTCTGCTTCTTTTAAAATACTGTTAATTCAGGCTATATACATATGAAATAACTGCCATATAATTAACGAGTTAAAAAAGATTTATTTGGCCTCACTGCCTGCATTTTTTCCAAGTTAAGCAGACATGCTAAGTTCATTTAAGAATACTTAATGCCTTGAAGGTATGATTGTACATGTACCAAAATGATTTAACCTTGATTAATTGCTACAAGTCATTAGGTGCAATAAATTATGTGGTATGTCCTAAATTTATCTGCATTGTTCCCAGGTATGATGGGCTTCAGTTTACACCAGGATTTCACTCTGTTTGTATATTTACTAGTATCTATCTGTCAACTGAGATGTGTTGAAAAACATAGAGGCTGTGTATTTCTTTGTAACACTTTCATCTTCAATACCTTAGCCTTGCCCTTATGAAGGGTGACCAACCATAACATGGAAATAAAACAATTAAGATGGTGACCTTTATAGTATGGTATAAAACCACTTAGCATCACATATGAATTTATTTAAGTTGATAGGTATTCTTTCCATTTGCTTAAACTAAGTACATATTGTACACGTATACCGGTAAATTGGATTGAATATTTCCAGACAATTTATTACCTAGATACAACATATCTGGTTTTATGCTCAGCACCATCCCTGTTAAGGCAGTAAATAAAACCTGAGTGCTGACTGACCTGTTGTGATCTTGATGCAGTCCTGAGAATAATGGCCTATACTAGTGGAGACTGAATGCTTTATATCAAATAAAACCAACATAAAAACACCATTTCAGGAAAGTTTAATCATTAGGAACCAGGGTATACATTGTGTAATTGGTATATAGACTTTGTCTTGTACATTTGAGATTTGTAATCCCAACATTTTATGCATTGTTAAAATCGTCTTCAATCTATTCATTAAGTGCATTATCAGTCTTTTTAAAAGAAAAGTGGATTATTCTTTCAACATGTTCAATGGCCTTATTAAATGTTTTCATTTATCTGATATGCATGAACATTTTGCATAGGGACACCAGTTTGCACATGCATGTCACAAATATCAGAAAAACATTGCGTGGGGGAAAAACTCTAGTCTATACATTGGAAAAAATTAAGTACTTTTAATGGAGAATGAATTGAGTTGTCATAGTCTTTGTTGTAAACAGATGTTCTTTTAGCTTCTTAACAACCAATGACAAATGCTTGAAATGTGATTGTTAATGCAAACAACCACTTATTATATCACACATACTATCAAACACAATGCCATAATATATCACACAGACTATCAAACACAATCACATATCACACAGACTATCAGACACAATGACATATTATATCACACCGACTATCAGACACAATCCCATATTATATCACACAGACTATCAAACACAATCACATATCACACAGACTATCAGACACAATGACATATTATATCACACCGACTATCAGACACAATGAAATTATATAAGATTATTTTTGCAATTTTCATTGGCTGAAAGTACATCACATGATATTCATTCTTTTGTAATACTGACTCTAAAACACATTCATGGAATATGCTACCACATGACTCACCGTTCGGCTGCACCAAAGTTATATATAACGTGACGTCATAATATAATAAGAAGCATGTTTTTACCATTGTGACGTAATGACAGCCAAGTCTTTTCAGTTAGGACTGTGTAGATTATTCACTTTGAGTGATTATATAATATAATTATAATTATGGACTTCAGTGTAGGTCAATATATAGTTATAAGGACCCATGTCAAGTGATATTGACCCAAGACACAGAAAATGATAGCAACCTCGCAATCTCAGTGGCTATCACTTTCTGTGTCTTCGGTCAACATCACTTGACATGGGTCCTTATAACCACATATCGATCTACACCGAAGTCCATAACTGTATATTATATCACACAGACTTTCAGACACAATGACATAATATTTCACACAGACTATCAGACAAAATGACATATCATATCACACAAATTATCAAACACAATGACATATCATATCACACAGACTATCAAACACAATGACATATCATATCACACAGACTATCAAACACAGTGACATATTATATCACTCATACTATCAGACACAATGACATATTACATCATACAGACTATCAAACACAATGACATTTTATATCACTCATACTATCAGACACAGTGACATATTATATCATACAGACTATCAGAAAAATGACATATTATATCATACAGACTATCAAACACAATGACATTTTTTATCACTCATACTATCAGACACAGTGACATATTATATCATACAGACTATCAAATACAATGACATATTATATCACACAGACTAACAGACACACTGACATATTATTATATCACACAGACTATCAGATACTACAACATATTATATCACAGCGACTATCAGACACAATGCCATATTATGCCATATGATATAAAACAATAACATACTATATCACACATATTAGAAGAGAAAACATACACTGTAGCCTATTAAGGTTAAATATATATGCTCAATAAATCTCATCATCTGAGTTACATATATATATACACACACACACACAATAAATATCAACATTTGAGTTACATTTATGCAACAACATTATATAATAACATTTCTTGTTTCTAAAATTCATAAATATATACTTTACACATATACATGTATGTTAATTTTTGACAGTCTAGGAAAACACAGGAAGTAAATACTGGTACATACAATTAACAGCATTAAAAATTCCACCTCCCATCCTTATTTCCCATTTCAGCAAAAGTGATCCCCACCCATCAAAAATAATTTTTTTAATGAAAAGGTCAACGAGCAGCCATGAAAGCTAATTTCTAACAGTGTAGTGTCCACAAAAGTCATATCATAAAAATCATTCAAAAGTAACCAAAAAAAAAAAAAAAGAAACAAAAAAAAAAACAACAGACCAACACAGGTAAATTACACACCACTGGAGCAGTTGTACAGTCATAGACTGCAGTTTAATGTTATTATCACAACACAGCATACTGGCTGGCAACGTTATCACAAAAATATCACTAAGTTTTTACAAGCATCATCTGCTATGTTGCTGCATCCATTCCAAAACCCCCGACAGTCCCTGGCCTGTCACTGCACTTATTTCCTTTATGGATATCTTGTGTTTACTGTGTCGTACTATATCATTCCATCGGAACAGTGATTCAAACTCAAGTCTGCTCATTGAAGTAGCTAAATCTCTGAAACAGTGAAATATCTGATTTATAATAAATTAGAAAAGAATTCTGATGCTTATCGATGAATATCATCATTGACACGGACATATCATTTTGATATGGCTTGATGCACCCTTCATCTGTATGCATAATGAAATTCTACTAAATGTTAGATACATGTTGGCACTGTATGATAAACATTGTAGAATGATATGAAATCACAATGACAGTGTCCACTATAGAAGAGTTAGATACTCACATCTTGTTAAGAAGCACCAACACTGGACAGTCGTCTTTTAAGTTTGGATTTGTAAGGACTGTCAGGAACAACATACAGGCAGCAGATAATTGTAGACGATTTGACATGTCAATCACATACTGAAACAAAACAAGCAATTAATTCCTTCTTAATTACATGTATATTGTGTAAATATATGTGACTGAAACATTTATAGCAATGTAGTTGTGGCTAATAGTCTACTGAATTACCAACAAGTGCAAAGTAATATGCATCTACAAAAGGGGCTATAAAAATATCTATTAATGAGTATTTATTCATAAATGACAAAGATTGAATATGTAAATTTCTTTATTTTTGTACATGGTTAGTAGAGCTTACTCATATTTTAAATTTATGCTCATAATGTCTCATTTAAAACCATTCAATATCAAATGTAAACAAGCCTTAGTTTATCTTCAATTTTAAAAAGTTTAAGGTAACCTTATAATATTACTTGTCAGCTCTTAAGAAAAGTTCAGTCAGAACCTCCAACTTCAAAATATTTATAACAATTCAATTATTATAACATATTTGAATTAAACAATGCAAATTATACAACATTCAATTTAAAAACTGCTCACAAAATTATAAAGAAACAAGATTTATGCGGGACTATTTCTTGTGGTAAAAGGATATTTAGAAGAGAATTCTTCAAATCTACACATTTGTTAAATTAATATTATGGAACTTCAGCCGTACATATTTTTTAAGTCAGAGAATTCTTTCCATTACTATATGCTGGAAATATTAAACACATGTATAAGTTTCAATCAGTATTTTTAAAACAAATTTTACATATCCATTCAACAAACTTTGCCAAGAAATGAAGACATATTAAAGAAATCAAGATATAATTTACACTGTTTTTTTTTTTTTTTTTTGCCTGAAAATCGCATATTTTGACCAATATCTCAAAATTTAAATCACTGGCCCCAACTTTGTCTTTCATTATTTTAGACTTCTGACTACATGATACATGTACTTCCAACCGATCAGCACTAAAGTCATAAAAAGTTTGATACAAGAAGATATTTTATTGCCTATTTAGTTTTTTAATACCCCAAATATGATACTTTTTTAGTGCAAAAATGTCACACAATAATTTAGGCATTAATTTGAATGATTTGTTCAATGATAAATATTATTCAAACTATTTTACATACATTAAGATTATATTTATTGCCATGATTACATCTGGTAAAATATGGTGATGGTTAAAGTGATACAATTTAAGTGCGAAAAGGTCAAGTTAATTGTACCGTTGCTCAGTAAGATTAGATGTGCACTGACCCCTAATTTTCTTTGCGATTTTGAGCCATGCTATATGTCTGAGTACTTATCTTACATATAGTTCTCAAAAAATCCTTGATATAACTAATTTCATGAGTGACATACCTTAATTATAAACAACAAATTGAAAGCAGACATAAAAGGAAATTGGAAATTTTTAAACCAGCAACATATTAATTTAACTGATGAGTTCAGAGTTTGTCCAACCTGGAAGAGAATCTAAATATAAATTTCATGTGGTCTCATATGATTTCATTGCTGAGCATAATATAATGCAACTCACAATCAGAATATTGCAGTCTTTTAGATAATTTGGCCATAATGGAGACATTGGCCCTCCAAGTTCTCTGACAGTTATTTCTTGTTTCTTGTTCAGTGATATATTAACAAGGTTTGTTCCAATCTAAAAAATAAAAAAAAAGAATAAATTCCTTGAATCATTTATACACATACAATTTGTAAAAATATAGTCAAAATTGATACACTAAGCACATTAAACAAGAAGCATGACAGTACTGATTTTTTCTCTGTTGAGCACTTTATAATAAATATGAAGTAATTTACTTACTGTTGGCAATGTTGATGGTATATTAGCCATGCCATGTTTTAAATCATCTTAGACAGGGGTTAAAGAAACATAATTTATAAAAATTATATTGATTTTTATTTGAAAACACTTTTTCACATTTTAGTTACTTACAATCATTTAATTTTTATTAATCAAAGATTTTATTTATCTCATATAGAAGGGACATATAAAGGAATCTTGCAATATTGCAAATTTCTTGAAATGTAGCTACAACTGTGGTAATGTAAGATAAACGGCATCCTAACAAACAACTTGGGCTAGTGGGTTAACCAGTTAGCTTGATCGGTAGAGCACTGGACTGGCATGCAAGAGGTTCCAGTTTAAATCCATTTGGAGGCACAAACATGTCTCTGTTACATTGTGATCATGATCTGTGCCCTGGTAGCTGAAAGCAGTTTCTTTCAAAGTTTCGCACCAAAAGTGTTGGGATGTTCAGGGAGACAATGATGTGTCTTTCTCTGAATTTGGTAGCATAAGATAAGTAATGGGAATCAGTAAGAATTTCATAATCAATGATTAGCTGTCTGTAACTAATTATTGGTTATAATCCAAAAACAAAAATATCCATAATAAACAACATCGAATGTCCTAGGAATAAACTTTCATCCTTGAAAAGTAACAAGAAAGTAACTAAGAGTAACCTAAATAAAACTACCAAATACATGTATGAAGACCTTTATTTTGTGGAAATATGCATGTTGAGCACCCAATACCCATAAAAAGCATTATGCGCCATTACCAAGCACCTTTTAAGGGTATTGGATAAGATGTGGCTGAAATTTTGCATTTCAAAAATAGGGCTTGATAAAATAGAATAAACAATTATAATAAATAATTGATAATAATATTTTTGTAATCAAGCACTTGGAATCTACAACATTCAACTGATTTTCAATCATAATCAATGTTTTGATCAACACTTTGTAAGATACATTACATTTGACTAGTCTGTAGTTTTGAGTCAGTGTAATCAATAGAACAGTACCTTGATGTGGCAAACCTGAAAAAGGTCATGGGTTCAACTTCCTAGGGCAGAGCAAACACACAAACCAGTCTGTAGCATGCATCTATTGAATCTTATTTCTAAGGTTCTTTAATTCTATAACTTCCTGTCGACACAATAAAAATTTTCAATTGTACATGCTACATTCAGTCATTTGCATGTTTTAGTAATTAACATTAATATCAAATATGATTTTTACATGCAATTTGGTCTAGCAACAATACTGAGCTAAACAAATTGAAAAAAAGGATACAATTCGACTTCAGTTTCTTCGTTAGTAAGGTTTTCCCTGAACTTGTTGGACCAAGTAAAAGACACATAATTCTCCAAATCTTTTAACCCTAAGTGGATATTATAATATGTTAACTAAAGAAGTTAATTTTGGCTAAACATTTTTCCTACAAAATTAAAAATATGTTTGTTTATCACCATACTCAATGTTTATTTGTTTCTTTACAATTGATATTCAATAAGTCTTCCATTTAAACGTTTCAATGACTTTGAATATATCGTATCTCTTATATCATTAATAAAAAAAAGATGATGGGTTTTTATTTCCATATATTTTCATGCTTTTTTAGTTCTTAAGTTTTGGGCTAAAAAAGAAAAACTTATGAATTAAAATAATGCTTTTGTTAATTGCTCGCCTTATTAACTCACAATATTTGTATTTGATTTAAGCGACCTTGTATATTTATCAGTTGGGTTATGTCATTGAGTCATATTGCTTAGACGTTCACTTAAAAGCAAGACAGAATATGTTTTCAAGCAAATCATCGGCCTTTGATAAGGCTTTGGGTAAGTAATCATTCTTTTTTATGACTCCATTGCTAGATTTCATGAAAAGCTCCAAAGAGAGAACAATTTCAACAAACAGGAAGAGTGATGTGGCAACAAACAAAAGCCCAAGGACTGCTGAAGAATGTCTGTTGTTTATCATTATGTCAAGCTGGGATACCCAATTTTCAAGAAGTTGCTTTCGTCGTGAATTCTCTATATGCAAATATACATATCTGTACACATCAATAATTATTTATTTATCAGACAGATTGATCTACCTCTACAGAAACTAAAATTAATACTTTTACATTTAACCCCCGTTATATCCTAATTATCCTCTAATGACCCAACTGAGGAACATAAGTTGTGTAAAACTTATAGATTGGTAGGACTACCAAATGTAACCTTATTTTCATGTACCTGAATCACAAGTACATTACACAGCACAATCTAATTAAAATTAGATGTTAGATCCACTCGCATACTCGCTTGTTAGTGTAGTGAGTATGCGAGCGGATCTAACATCTAATTTTAATTATATTAAACACAGCAGTGATGCAAACACCACATGGTGTAAATAAGTTTTTTCTAAAAAAATTGAAATATGAATGTCATATTTTGAGAAAAAATTACCATTAATTTTCTTAAAAATTGATGTTAATTATGTAAACTAATATATATATTAAGAATGAAATACGGGTACTACTAAACAGAGTACGCTAGAGTACGATAGAGTACTTTAGAGTACGCTAGAAAAAATGTGTAGTTTAATGCAATTAAATTGTTTATTTATGTAAATATAACTCGATTAAACATTATTATAAACTAATATTGCAATATTTATTTCAAAATGTTTGTTTTTAGCGCTATTTTGACAAGAAAATAACATTCATGATTCAATGAATTAAACTGTTAAAGATTATTAACACTCTGATCTCGATTAATATTTTGTTTCAGACTTACTAACTTCAACTAAATTTTATAAAAAATTAAATTTATTGCCCTATATAAATATTTTTTACATTAACAATGAAACATTTGAACATGTTCAAGTTAAATTAGATCGGGATCAAACGATAAACCGTCACCTGAAATCAGAATTTGAAATAACTCCTAAAATAAGGAAAACATACAAATCTAATTTAAAATATATATTCATTATGTTTAACTAAAGTAGAAAAACATACAAAAAGTAGTTAAATTGCATTAAATTATTAAATTTTACTAGCGTACTCTAAAGTACTCTATCGTACTAGCGTACTCTGTTTAGTAGGACCGATGAAATACCATAGCCTCTGACTGAGCTAGGAATTACTGAAGAGTGAAGGATAGGTTCATTTTTTGTGACCATCTAATATGTTAAATTTATTATCTAAAATAGCAAAATGCCAGGTAAAAAAAAATATATGTATTAAAATACAGTCAAAACTCTCGAATTTATGGGACCAGGAAAAAACTTCAAGATTTTCGGGGATTCAAGATATCCAGGGTAAAGTACTAATACAGATCAAGGAAACTATTTTCTGTGATGTCAGAATAAATTTACATGTTAAATAAGGCATCAACATGACTGACAAACTGGCCAATCAGCTAAATGAATTGCATTATGGGTTACTACAAAAAAATACTACATGTACGTTTTGAAAAGGCCAGTATTTCAAATCGCTCTCGGAAAGACATGATGCATTTCTCCAAGCATTTTACACACTTAATATAATATGTTCAACATTATCTTCTAATTCCATGCTCACATTTACATACAAATGTTATATAACGGTAACATTTGGGATTCCTACACTCTATTGTACAAGTCTGTTAGTTGACAATTGCATGACAGCTTTTCCCATGCTGAACTATCAGTGAATATGAATTTCACATGACTATTCTCTGGTCCAAAACAATCGACTCTGAGGTGTACTCGCGTATTGTCATTGTTTACTATGTATACAACTTCAATATGCTACTCAATACACGTTCTATGATCAATATACATGAATACTGTGTAAAAAAAATGCCGTACAACAGTAAACTTAAGTTTTTTTTTTTTAATAAATGCATTAAATTTTAATTTCTATTAAACAAATAACAAAGCAACAATGAATAACACCAGTAGCATGGCAAATTTACGAATATCAAGTTATAAAAACTGGATTTTTATATACTTGTGAAGACTATGTGAGCAGTATTTCAACGTACTATTTAACACGGAAAATTGACTTTGTTTGTTAATGTGAGCAGGGTAAATCTTAATTAGTACCTATTCTTTGTATTTTTCACAAAAACATTAAAAATAATTATTAGTTGACTTTCCTGCAGTCATTTGAAATCACATCCTAAATTTGCCTGACCCACGTGTTTGTAGTAAAATATAAACATGTAGTAGACCATTATGCTTTTCGGCTCATTCTTTGGATTGGACCATTGTTTGCTGTAAACACTGCTGTGCTCAATGACAACAATATCCATATAAGGTAGATTCCTCGACCTGTTAAAGAATAAAGGGTTTGGGACTTCCAAATCACTTCGACATATCCATGGTATTAGAGATATCAGTGTTCAAGATACCAAATTTCAACTGTAACAGTATATAATATGAACATATGATATATGTTTCTTTCAAAGTTTCTTGTGCAAATGAAATCTGTAATTTGCTTGACTGTCATGCAGATAACTTCAGCAATCAGTGCGACCGTCATGCGGATAACATTTGGTAATTAGACAACTGTCTTGCTTATACTTGGTCTTAATTTTATTATATATGAGTGTATGATTTTTATAGTTTTAACATTATATATTGATAATAAAAAATAAAGTAGGCAAATTAAAGTGGTCAGTGATCAGAAGTTGGTAAAATCTCAGATATGGCTGACCGTGGGTCACCTGTTTGTATTTCAGTTTTCTCCTTTGTTATTGTAATAAATAAAGAAACTTATAAAATATATATATTCTGAATAGTTTGTTGATATTGATGAAAAGGTTTTACTTTGTTATCCTTGATAATTTTAAAGAGCAAGTTTTGAAAAAGTAAACAACAGGGCTTGTGAAAAATCACAAGATTTCAGACAGTTGCAAATCTCTGTTATTTATGTCTCTGGTAGTATAACTAGTATTAAAGCTAAGAGTTGACCACAATATGGACTGAACTTATATTTAAAATTAAACATCCTACTGACTAAGCTTAGGGATCAGTCCTCTTAGTCAGTGTTAATAGATATATGGCCACTCTATTTACAAATAATAACCACCTTTAACCCTTTCCCTTGTTTTGCTTGAGATCAAAGAGGTGACCACACTGTGGTTTGAACTGATATAAAAATTGACCAGCCTGCTGACTGAGTTTAGGAATTTGTCCTCTAGTTAGTGTTAGTAGGTATGTGGCCACACTATGTGCAAGTAATAAACACTTAGGTTTTCACTCTTTCCTGTTTGTTTGAGATCTAAATCTTACACTTGAAACTCTAGACACCACTCAAAATGTAAGTTTTGTTAAGCTGGCACAAATAATTAGGTGTCCATTATGTGGTTTGAACCTGTAACATAAATATAAAATCAAACTACCAACTGAGCTTAAGTGTTTACTCACTAGCTAGGACATAAATTGGGTATTGCTATGCAGTGATCAGGCAGGTTTGATTGCTGGAGGTCAGATACATTATTTGATAGAATACCTAACTAGCGATTCGGGGCCTGGGTTCCAGTACTGGTCTGGTCCGTTGCATTTTTCTTCCTCGCTGGTTACAGCTAGTAGGAGCTTGGCCTCGCTTTGTATGATGAGAAGCCACTTAGAAAAGGACAGTCAATTCCTAAAACAAGTTTGTGTTATACATGTACATACAACTTATCCAGACCACTCATGCGTTGTTTTGGAATTCCAGATGTTCTTTTTGGTTTCTTTAATTTTTAAGTAATAGATAGTGGATTTAAGTAAAAAACTAATTTAAAAAATGAAAATTACATTTTGATACATGATAACATGAATTGGAAAACACAGCATTTCTGCACATTTTCATTTTTATTTGATATTATTTGGGGCTCTCAGCTATTATATTAACATTATAATAACTTCGTTTGGGCATTTCACACTTGGTCAAGTGTGTTATTTAACCCCAAAAGAAATTTGTTTATTTTAAATCCATTTTAGCTCCATTTTTACACAAGCACACAGGCCATCGGCCGCATTCACTCCAGGCCATCGGCCTTTCACTGTCTCAAGGCCATCGGCCATTTACACGCATGCAAGGCCATCGGCCTAACTCACTCATGGCCATCGGCCTCACACTGTCACTAGGCCATCAGCCTCACATACATGGGGGCCTGCAGCCCACCACATATACAAGCCATCGACTACCATATTTCGGCCATCGGCCTATTACACGATGCATTTTAACAATGCCCTGTTGTATCAGGCTTGTTGCCTGATAGTGTATATACCTAAGTACTATAAATATATTGTTTGCGTGTGTAATTTTCATGTATGGTTTGTTTTGATTTCATAATAGCTGAGTAGTTACCAGAGGGCAATTTGAATAAATTTGTAAATAATCATTTGTGTTGGTTTTATATAAATTGATATTAATAGACATTTTCTTTAACAGTATATAGA